TGAGAATGAAAAGCTGTAGATTAAGCAAAACTAAAATGCTGACTCCATTTCATTCTCAACTTCTCTAGTTTCTGGAACTTGCAGAGTAATTCCGCCTTTGGATCAGCTACATCTTGGTTCTCTTTCCTTGCAAAGAGTAAAAAAAAAGAAATGTGAGAAAAATCTTGCACAGGTTAACCTGTGCCATTCACCAACTACCTATAAAAAAAAAAAAGAAGAATTGCAATAAATATCCAACTCTGCTGAATCATAATTGTTTCCAATTACTATAAGAGTACATGGTTTTTCACTAAAAGGCCCACAATTTTTTTTTATGTAACTAGAATTAAACTACTTTTAAAAACAAGCAAGAACGCTCCAATTTGTAAATATATATGTTTAGTAGCCGTGTATTTGATGCAGATACAATGCAGAAATTGGAAAGTGGCAGGACTTTACTAAAATTGTGTTATCAAATGTCCAATAATGGTAGCAAATTCTTTACACCGCAAGAGAGGCTGGATAGTGATGTCCCGAACGGTACGGCGAACGGTTCGCCACGGACTCATCATTGAGTAAACTTTGACCCTGTACCTCACAGTCAGCAGACACATTCCAGCCAATCAGCAGCAGACCCTCCCTGAAGTACCAGCTTAGACTGTCCCTTTTAATGTTAAAGCACCTTGTTATTATGGGGGGTAGGGGGTTAAGGGGTGGCAAAAGGTAATTTACATAAAAAGACTATAAGGTCCCAAAGAACATTAAAAATTAACATCTAGCACTGATGATATTTCAGGATTTATTTTTCAGCCCACAGCCAACAACCTCCCACTAAAACTACAGCTGCTTAGTTACAATCCTTGAAAAATAGAAAAACAGATCAGTGCTAATTTACCAAACTAAATTTTCTTTAAAAGTATTGAAAGAAAAAGGCAGCACACCTACAAACAAGGGGAATGGAGGTAGCGCCAAAATAGTAAAAACCACTAGTATCAATAAGAAACCATATCATAAAATAGACCAAAGTGGAATAATAACAATAAAATGTCCAATATAAAGTCCCAATATAAAACTTGGCAGAAGATATAGCCTCTGTTCTGTCAGGGAACTTCTTCTACAAATGAGCCAGATCGAGGTATCCTTTGGAAAGACTAATGCTGCAGTATATCCCAGAGAAAAGTAAAAACAATAAAATAAGTCTTTATGGTCCTACTCACATTCGTTAGAGCTTAAACCCAGCTCTAGTATGAATAGCATACAGTGGTACAATCCCCACTTATAGGATATGTGAGTAGATGTTGATAGACAGGTGTTTCGTCGGTATGAAGACCATAAAAAGTAAAAAAAGAACAACAAAAAACCAATAGACACACAATATAAAAGTTACCAGGAGTATAAAATAACATATGGTGGGGGTCGGGGCCTGAGCACCATGGCGGCTGGCTGCACATTGTGAAAGCTCCCGTAAAGACTCACTAACTAAGCCTGTTTCACAGGCAGCCAGTCCGCAAAAATCACAGCACTCAACTGAATCTCACCCCCGGCAGGCCCGGGAGCAGCTCTTGATACCGGTATGAGGGTATTCTTGGCAGAGATCCCGCTTCAGCCCAGCATAGCAGGGGGATGGGTTAGGCGGCCTACCGCCCGGAACCTGCGACGCAGCACCGGGTGGGAACTGCCCAACTTCCTAAACAGAAAGTGTAATGGGGGTCCAAAATATTATGATATATATTTATGCATACCCCGGAAAAATATTCCCAAATCATCTTCTCCTTTGCCTTTTTAATTGGGTCTGCGGGGGTTAGCTTCTTGCCAGGATAGGCTTCATCCAGAAAATCACAGATAACAGGTCACTCATAGATTACCTCCCCATTACTCAGCTCCACTGCTGGCACAAGACCATATGGGTTTTTATCAAAAAACCAATCAGGCTTACTCTTTAAAGGACCACTCTAGGCACCCAAACCACTTCAGTTTAATGAAGTGATCTGGGTGCCTGGTCCAGCTAGGGTTAACCTATTTTTTTTTATAAACGTAGCAGTTTCAGAGAAACTGCTATGTTTATAAATGGGTTAATCCAGCCTCTAAAGCCTCTAGTGGCTGTCTCATCGACAGCCGCTAGAGGCGTTTGCGTGCTTCTCACTGTGAAAATCACAGTGAGAAGAGGCCAGCGTCCATAGGAAAGCATTATGAATGCTTTCCTATGAGACTGGCTGAATGCGTGCGCAGCTCCTGCCGCGCATGCGCATTCAGCTGAAGAGGAGGAGAAGAGGTGGAGAGGAGGAGGAGAGCTCCCCGCCCGGCGCTGGAGAAAGGTGAGTGTTTAACCCCTTTCTCTCCCCAGAGCCCAGTGGGAGGGGGTCCCTGAGGGTGGGGGCACCCTCAGGGCACTATGGTGCCAGGAAAACGAGTATGTTTTCCTGGCACTATAGTGGTCCTTGAAGTTAATGTTAACACATTCATGCTTAAATGAAAGGGAAAAAAAACGTATTATGAGCACACAAAAAAAAAAACAATTTGACAATTCAAATTGAGATAGATGAAAAAACAATGTAATTTAATTTCATGGTTTCGGGCTGATTTTAAGCATGTCAAATGAATAAATAAATAAATAAATGTATGCAATAACTATTTACTTCTTTAGTGGATTTCCAAGGAGGAATCTGACAAATAATATACTGACAAAATAATACAAAATTCCAACACAATCAAGTAATTTCAGTTTTGCTATGGAATGGGAAGACATTTCTCCCAACTCAAAAATTGCATTTCATAAATAATAATTTGCAATTGCTACATTTGGTGTTTAGTTTTTTTGCCTTCTTTCATATCATCAGCTTAAAAAAACAAAAAATAGGTTTTAAAGGTTGGACCTAGGACTTTATTTTTAGCCTGGGTTACAATGTAACTGTAATTATACACAGTTCACATAACAAGTGGGTTCCTGAAAAACTGGCTAAAATAAAATATAAGAAAATAAATCACTTATTTTATCTTTCCATAGAGAAGTGATGAAACAAGTTTTCTTTCAGTAAAAACAATAAACATACGATTAATTGTCTAAGAAGGAAACATTCAATGTCATAGTTAACAAGTGCATTTGAAAAGTCGATACATACTTATTTAGCAAAGTAGTATATATAGAATTATGCCACAAAAAAAGGGAAATACATTCTTCTAGACTCCATAATGTCAATCAGATTTCTTTGTGGATCAACAATCTGTTCACATGGATTCATTATATGCGTCAATTAGACTTTTTTTGTTTTTTAAATAACCATAGAATCTGATAAGACAACCTCTTTAGGTAGATAATTCCACAACTATATTGTTCTTATTGTAAATACAAAATGATGAAGTATTATAGTGACAGGTTTTTGAGAGTGCCTTTATCAAGTCTAAGGCATTTTGTTCTTACTATAAAGAACTTTTTTCTCTGTTGTAAGTGAAAACGCCTTTATTCCAGTCTCAATGGGTGACCTCTTGTCTGTAGTAAATTTGTGCTAATGTATAGATTAGCAGGTAATGGTTTGAACTGACCCTGTATATATGTGTATCGTGCTATTTTATCCCCTCGGAGACACCTGCTTCCTAAAGACAAAACAATTCAATTATTTATAGTCTTCATAACTGATGTTCTCCATCCCCCACATTAATTTAGTAGTTTGCCTCTACATGTTTTTAGTGCCACAATATCCTTCTTTAAAGGGACACTCCAGGCACCCAAACCACTTCTGCCCATTGGAGTGGTCTGGGTGCCAACTCCCACTACCCTTAACCCTGCAAGTGTAATTATTGCAGTTTTTTTATAAACTGTAATAATTACCTTGCAGCGTTAACACCACCTCTAGTGGCTGTCTACTAGACAGCCATTAGAGGGCACTTCCTGCTTCATAGCACAAAACCTCCAGCTTCGCTCAATTTTCAATGCTTTGCTATGGAGAGCTCTAATGCGCAGTTGCGACATTGGCGTGCATGCGCATTAGGGCTCCTCAGGTGGCAGGCGGGATCAGTCTCGCCCACCGGCTGACTTAAGGAAGAGGAGGAGCGGCGGCGACCCGAAACCACCGCCGAGGGACATCGGCGGGGGTCTCAGCTAAGTGACTGAAGGGGTTTTCACCCCTTCAGCAACCGGGGATGGGGGGTGGCAGGGAGAGGGGACCTGCAGTGCCAGGAAAACGGATTGTTTTCCTGGCACTGGAGTATCCCTTTAAAACCGGTGCCCAACATTGTGTAGCATTTTCAAGGTGTGGTCTTACCTCTTCAATAACGAGTCAAAATTATATTTTGATCACATAAATCAATAACCCTTTTTTATACATGACAGCACCTTACTGGCTTTTGCAACGGCAGATCAGCCTTGCATACTGCTGACTAGTTTGTTCACAAGTCTCGTAGCCCAGATAGTTCCCTTCTATAGTATAAAGACTGTAACAGGACTACAAACTATTGCCATGCTCATGCATTAGTGGTGCTATAAAAAGCTAAAATAACACTTAATTTCAATGATGTTGCCTGAGTGCAGCGGTGCATTAATTTTAAAGGGACACTCCAGGCACCCAGACCACTTCTGCCCATTGGAGTGGTCTGGGTGCCAACTCCCATCACCCTTAACCATGCAAGTGTAATTATTGCAGATTTTATAAACTATTTGACAGCCACTAGAGGGACTTCTGGCTTCTTAAAACATGAAAAGTGTTTTAAACGATACTGGACGTCCTCACGCTATGCATGAGGACCTCCAGCCTCGCAAGAATCCCCAAAGATAAGCATTGAATAATGCTTTCCTATGGGGAGGTCAAATGTGTTCACGCGGCCATTTCCGCGCATGCGCATTAAGTCTTGCCTGCCAGCTGCCGTCGGCAGGGGAGGAGAGTGGGCGGAGCCTGACCCAGGGCCGAGGGACATCGGCGCTGGATTCAGGTAAGTCACAGAAGGGGTTTTAACCACTTCAGAAACATGAGATGGGTGTAGTAGGGAGGGGGCACTGCAGGAATCTGAAGTGCCAAGAAAACGGGTCTGTTTTCCTGGCACTGGAGAGTGCCTTTAATAGGGCAAGGTAAAATATTGCCATTTTACCTCCAGAAGCTGTTACTCTGACAGCTGGTGAAGGCACTTCCATGCAACGGTCAAGTGAAACTCAGTCACATGAAGCATTGATTTAATACTTTTCTGTAAGGAAGCTTGAATACACACATTTATATTAGTTACCCCAATTCCCTCCCATAAGTGGCAATGAATTGGACCATCACTGGAGGAGACCATGCCTTCTCCATTACTTCACAGAGGGGTAGATGTAAACAAGAAGAAGTCTTGGATGGAAAAAGGTGAGTAAAAGCTTTATTTTATTCTTTTTAATGCACACATTGGGGTGCACTGTAACTGTAGACAGGGAATCTAAAGTGTACGATATACATGTTTGTATTCCTAACACTTTAGTTCCTGCTAAGCACAAAGCACAAAGAGCACAAACTTCAAGTAGTATTTAAATCTTACAAACCTCTGCAGGTTGCCGAGTGTCATCAGTAAGTAATGAAGTCCACAAACATCTGCCAGGCCAAGTTTAGCTATTGCTATGTAGAACTCTACTACTGATCATGTTTAATTAAATGTCATTGGCACCATTTATAGTGTATCAAAACTGGATTTGTATTTGTGTGTGTGTGTTTATAGAGAGTGGGCCGAAATTGGTTAAATAATCAAGAACTTTTTTTATTAATGAACCAATTTCAATGATATTACATACAATGAATGCTTAACGTATGGAGATTTGTTTGACTAGATACAGAAGATGACCTCTTTTAAATGAGCGCATTTTGCTGCCTTGTAAAGTCTGACTCTTTGCATTATTTAAAACATTAGTTAAAGGGACACTATAGTCACCTGAACAACTTCAGCTTAATGAGGTTGTTCAGGTGAGAACTATAGCTCCCTGCAACCTTTCTCATGTAAACACTGTATGAGAAAATACAGTATTTACATTGAAAGCTAGGAACACCTCCAGTTGCAGTCACTCAGAGTGAAACAGAGGGACTTCTGAGTTGATGAAGGCATAATATGCCTCCATCCACTCAGATCTGCTGTGCACAGCATCCTGTTATTCAGTATCTCCCCCCTCTGCATGCAGACACTAGACTTTCCTCATAGAGATTCATTGATTCAATTAATCTCTATGAGGAGATGCTGATTGGCCAGGGCTGTGTTTGAATCATGCTGGCTCTGCCCATGATCTGGCTCCTTGTCAGTCTCAGCCAATCCTATGGGGAAGCACTGTGATTTGATCAAGCTATCACGTCAGCAGACTGCTTGTTTTTCCTGAGTCTCCGCATGCAGATTTACAGCTTCTGGCTTGAATACAGTAAGATTTTTACTATATTTATGGAGGCATAAGGGGCCTGGGGGGGAGGGGGGGAGAGGGGTAGATGGTCATGTTAACACTATAGGGTTAGGAATACATGTAGTTGCACTGGTGACTATAGTGTCCCTTTAATGCTTAAGGCTCTAGCGCGTACATTTTTGAACTGATATTCTGCTTTAGCTGCTCATATCCCCACAGGAAGTAATCTAGAGCTGAAAGGTCATGTTAATTTGGCAGCCAATTAATCTGGGAATCTAATGAAATTATCCGCTCACTGAATAGCTGTCTCAACGGATCCACCACATTTCAGGACGATTTTCCACTACAGGATGTAAAAATTCTCACTTGTATCCTGATATCCCACAGCGATAAAATTCCACTATATTTACTCGTTTTTCCTCTGTAAATTTATACAATCTCCCAAGACTCAGTTATAATATATATACAAAAAATTTAACTACTAACAAATAAGTTTTTTACTTGTCAAATCCTACTACGCACTTTGGCCTACCCGTATATAAAACATACATAGATGTTTACTGTTTGGATTGTATGCTGTGTTTAATGTTTACATTTTTGTTAAATATCTATCAGGTTCCCCTGCTCCAGGGCCTGTCCCTGAAGGTACTCTCCGCTTTTTACTTTTACCCTTTTTTTGTGGCATAATTCTATATATACTACTTTGCTAAATAAGTATGTATCGACTTTTCAAATGCACTTGTTAACTATGACAGTGAATGTTTCCTTCTTAGACAATTAATCGTATGTTTATTGTTTTTACTGAAAGAAAACTTGTTTCATCACTTCTCTATGGAAAGATAAAATAAATGATTTATTTTCTTATATTTTATTTTAGCCAGTTTTTCAGGAACCCACTTGTTATGCGAACTGTGTATAATTACAGTTACATTGTAACCCACGCTAAAAATAAAGTCCCAGGTCCAACCCTTTTCACCATAAGTGGCTTCTTCAGAATTTTTATCCCATTCTGAAGAAGCCACTTATGGTGAAACGCGTTTCTTTATCCCATTCTGAAGAAGCCACTTATGGTGAAACGTGTTTATGGTTTATTACTTTTATATTTTACTGTGTATTTTAGAACAATAAAGTTTTTTGGCTACCTCACCGTATCAATTCTCTTTTTATTGCACTCTCTATGCACTTTAAACTTTTTTTACCTATTCCTGGAATTTAAACGTTCCTGCTACTTTTACTTCCACTGGCAATTTTACTGTTCCAGTACTCCAAGAAATCCCAGGTGGGGATCATACCACCAACGCCTATCTATAGAGCAGTACCTCTGCTCTATCTTTGTGAGTATTATTTTACCTTTTATTTTACTCTTGTATCCCATCACAATTGAGAGCACTATTGCTGCTTTTTATTCTTCTCTCTAGGAGCTTTGGATTACCAGACGGTGCTGACGGACGTACCACCGCTACATATCCCATAAGCGGGGATTATACTGCTGTACGCTATCCACACCAGAGCTGGCCATAGCTCCCTCAAATGTGAGTTCCTTTTCTATCTATTTGCACATTGAACCCCTTCACAATTGAGAGCACTATTGTTGCTTTCTATTTCTCTTTCCGAGCTTTGGACTACCAGACGGTGTTGACGGAGAACCCTCCCCTACATATCCCATAAGCGGGGATTATACCGCTGTATAGCTGGCCATAGCTCTCCTGAATGTGAGTTCTTTACTTTTACCTACCGCACCTTGAAATTTACATACTACACCATTGGTCTTTTGTATTTTCATATACTGAACGGTCAACACCAGACGCACCTACCTCCACTAAGAAACCTTATCCAGTATCCCCGACGATCCACTGGTATCCTAGTAATACTTCACTGGACTTTTGGCGCAGCCCTCATATATCTTTTTCTCTAGCAGTTAATCATGCCTGATCTAAGAAATATCTAGAAACAGCTGTTTGCCCAAACTTTAGTGAAGTGGGTGGAGATTAATGACTCCCAAGCAAATAATTATTCTTATTACTTATTCTATGTTAATTTAACACAAACAACAACTGATCTAACCTGGTCTGACATAGATGTTATGATCTGCATTAGTTTTTGTTAAATAAAAATATTTGAATTGGGGGCGGGGGCGGGGGCTAACCCTGCTGTGGTAGACCTAAGGGGTTATTACATCAAGACCCCAGGCTGCTTCCAAGCTCACAGCTTGGATTTACCTTTTCTCAAACCCTTCTGAGAGCCAGTCATGTCTGGGGAAGGAGATCCAGAGAATGAGACACAAACCCAGGGAGGAGATACAAAGTATCCGGAGCTCTGCAAAGACTGCTGCCTATAAACTATATCCCCTCCCCTCCAGTCTAATGATCACCCAGAAACAAACACACTAACACAGCACTCCTGTATGACAGACTATTATCTGTATTATTTACACACTGATGGGGGGGGTTATAATACAGCCATTATACTGTACTACATATGGACAGGGGAAGATTATAATACAGCCATTATACTGTACTACATTCTGACAGGGGGAGATTATAATACAGCCATTATACTGTACTACACACTGACGGGGGTTTTTAATACAGCCATTATACTGTACTACATACGGACAGGGGGAGATTATAATACAGCCATTATACTGTACCACATTCTGACAGGGGGAGATTATAATACAGCCATTATACTGTACTACACACTGACAGGGGGAGATTATAATACAGCCATTATACTGTATTACACACTGACAGGGAGATTATAATACAGTCATTATACTGTACTACACACTGACAGGGAGATTATAATACAGCCATTATACTGTACTACACACTGACGGGGGGTTATAATACAGCCATTATACTGTACTACACACTGACAGGGGGAGATTATAATACAGCCATTATACTGTACTACACACTGACAGGGGGAGATTATAATACGGCCATTATACTGTACTACACACTGACAGGGGGAGATAATACAGCCATTATACTGTACTACATACTGACAGGGGGAGATAATACAGCCATTATACTGTACTACATACTGACAGGGGAGATTATAATACAGCCATTATACTGTACTACAAACTGACAGGGGGAGATTATAATACAGCCATTATACTGTACTACACACTGACAGGGGGAGATAATACAGCCATTACACTGTACTACATACTGACAGGGGAGATTATAATACAGCCTTTATACTGTACTACATACTGACAAGAGATTATAATACAGCCATTATACTGTACTACACACTGACATGGGGAGATTATAATACAGCCATTATACTGTACTACACACTGACAGGGGGAGATTATAATACAGCCTTTATACTGTATTACATACTGACAAGAGATTATAATACAGCCATTATACTGTACTACACACTGACAGGGAGATTATAATACAGCCATTATACTGTACTACACACTGAAAGGGGGAGATAATACAGCCATTATACTGTACTACACACTGATAGGGGAGATTATAATACAGCCTTTATACTGTACTACATACTGACAAGAGATTATAATACAGCCATTATACTGTACTACACACTGACATGGGGAGGTTATAATACAGCCATTATACTGTACTACACACTGACAGGGGGAGATTATAATACAGCCATTATACTGTACTACAAACTGACAGGGGGAGATTTTAATACATCCTTTATACTGTACTACTGTACTACATACTGACAGGGGGAGATAGGGGAGATAATACAGTATTATACTACATACTGACAGGGGAGATTATAATACAGCCTTTATACTGTACTACATACTGATATAATACTTATACTGTACTACACACTGAGAGATTATAATACAGCCATTATACTGTACTACACACTGACATGGGGAGATTATAATACAGCCATTATACTGTACTACACACTGACATGGGGAGATTATAATACAGCCATTATTACTGTACTACACACTGACAGGGGGAGATTATAATACAGCCAGCCATTATACTGTACTACACACTGACATGGGGATTATAATACAGCCATTATACTGTACTACACACTGACAGGGGGAGATTATAATACAGCCATTATACTGTACTACAAACTGACAGGGGGAGATTTTAATACATCCTTTATACTGTACTGCACACTGATAGGGGAGATTATAATACAGCCTTTATACTGTTCTACATACTGACAAGAGATTATAATACAGCCATTATACTGTACTACACACTGACATGGGGAGATTATAATACAGCCATTATACTGTACTACACACTGACATGGGGAGATTATAATACAGCCATTATACTGTACTACACACTGACAGGGGGAGATTATAATACAGCCTTTATACTGTATTACATACTGACAAGAGATTATAATACAGCCATTATACTGTACTACACACTGACAGGGAGATTATAATACAGCCATTATACTGTACTACAAACTGACAGGGGGAGATTATAATACATCCATTATACTGTACTACGCACTGATAGGGGAGATTATAATACAGCCTTTATACTGTACTACATACTGACAATAGATTATAATACAGCCATTATACTGTACTACACACTGACATGGGGAGATTATAATACAGCCATTATACTGTACTACACACTGACAGGGGGAGATTATAATACAGCCATTATACTGTACTACATACTGACAGGGGGAGATTATAATACAACCATTATACTGTACTACACACTGACAGGGGGAGATAATACAGTCATTATAATGTACTACATACTGACAGGGGAGATTATAATACAGCCTTTATACTGTACTACATACTGACAAGAGATTATAATACAGCCATTATACTGTACTACACACTGACATGGGGAGATTATAATACAGCCATTACACTGTACTACATACTGACAGGGGGAGGTTATAATACAGCCTTTATACTGTTCTACACACTGACAGGGGGAGATTATAATACAGCCTTTATACTGTATTACATACTGACAAGAGATTATAATACAGCCATTATACTGTACTACACACTGACAGGGAGATTATAATACAGCCATTATACTGTAGTACACACTGACAGGGGGAGATTATAATACAGTCATTATACTGTACTACAAACTGACAGGGGGAGATTATAATACATCCATTATACTGTACTACATCCGGACAGGAGGAGATTATAATACAGCCATTATACTGTACTACACACTGACAGGGGGAGATTACAATACAGCCATTATACTGTACTACATACTGACAAGAGATTATAATACAGCCATTATACTGTACTACACACTGACATGGGGAGATTATAATACAGCCATTATACTGTACTACACACTGACAGGGGGAGATTATAATACAGCCATTATACTGTACTACAAACTGACAGGGGGAGATTTTAATACATCCTTTATACTGTACTGCACACTGATAGGGGAGATTATAATACAGCCTTTATACTGTTCTACATACTGACAAGAGATTATAATACAGCCATTATACTGTACTACACACTGACATGGGGAGATTATAATACAGCCATTATACTGTACTACACACTGACATGGGGAGATTATAATACAGCCATTATACTGTACTACACACTGACAGGGGGAGATTATAATACAGCCTTTATACTGTATTACATACTGACAAGAGATTATAATACAGCCATTATACTGTACTACACACTGACAGGGAGATTATAATACAGCCATTATACTGTACTACAAACTGACAGGGGGAGATTATAATACATCCATTATACTGTACTACGCACTGATAGGGGAGATTATAATACAGCCTTTATACTGTACTACATACTGACAATAGATTATAATACAGCCATTATACTGTACTACACACTGACATGGGGAGATTATAATACAGCCATTATACTGTACTACACACTGACAGGGGGAGATTATAATACAGCCATTATACTGTACTACACACTGACAGGGGGAGATTATAATACAGTCATTATATTGTACTACAAACTGACAGGGGGAGATTATAATACGGCCATTATACTGTACTACACACTGACAGGGGGAGATTACAATACAGGGGGAGATTATAATACATTATACTGTACTACATACTGACAAGGGGAAAATCTTAATTTTTTTTTTTTTTTTGGTTTACTTCCTTTTCTTCCATCCCTCTTCCCTTTCTTTTCTATTTATATATTTCTTCAATTCTCTTTCATCCTCTAGGCTCTTTTGGTCTCCTCTAACAATGGCAGATGAAACAGAAATTATGGAAATGAACCGGGTGACCAATAAACCACACGTTTTGTCATTAGTAAAATAAAATTCCACTGAGGTATGGGCAAAGAACTTGCTTAAAAATGAAATTAAACGTGGTGGAGGTGGACTGTGCCCTGAACAGATGTATTCTTGCAGAGCTCTGTATTCGTAGCTGTTCTCTGACATTTGGTGAAATTTCTCAGCTACTCTCACTCCCAGAAATATTTTTTTGTGTTGTGACAAATTATTGGGAAGCGATTCCATAAATCTCAGGTAACTGCTAGTAGGAATACCCAAGATATCATCCTCCTGATCTGCAACATAAGCCTAGAATGTCGGCCTCCTAAGAAGAGGAGTTGGCTATATCAGAGGTCCAATCCCAAACCTGGATAGCAAGGTCTTAGCAAGAAAGGAAAGCAAAACTAATGTATCTAGTATTTAGCGATATCTCTACTTTTATCCTTAGGACTTTTTTACTGTAGACATGGACATTCTAAAGGAAGACCTGAGTACACTTTCTAGATGGATTAAGACCACAGAAGAAGACATTCAAAAGGTTTGCAATAAATAAGACTGCGTGTAAGCTCAATTGCAAAATTAAGTCTCACTTTTACCTTGCAGACTACAAACATGGAGCAACTACAATATAGCGTAAGGCAATGCAATCTTCTGAAGGCACGAGGCTTACCTGACTCCATTGACTTGGGTGAAGGTCCCCAGTTTATCTGATGCTTGTTCTTTGCCATTGAAGCAAGCTGAAGGCCTATCACTGGATGAACCTTATTGCTTTCCAGGCCTCCTAACAGCCAAATCTCTTTTCCACAGACAATTATTCAATGTTTCAAGACACATAGCGCCAAATAAATCCTTTTATATGTTAATATGGGTGTAACCCCTTCTGAGCAACGATATCTCTACTTCTTCCACAACCTTTCTAATTCTACGCTGCAAAAAAGTTTACATCCATGTTGGGCTCTTTCCTGCAAGTCTTGGCCTTTCGGTTCCTTCGACATGAGGCAAGAACAGACCTTGTAAATGGATAACATTGCTGTTTTTATTCAAATAAGCTGAAATGACCCAGGTTCAGGACACGTTCAAGAGCCTTTCTATTGGGACTGTTCTTCCTGGCTGGATCCAAAATGATCATAGTTTATGTATTTTGGGGTCTCTCTTTTTTTTTTTTGTCCCACCTTGGATGTCCAGGATTTTTCTGCATACCCTAGAATGTAGGGCCGGTATAGAAATACTGCTGTATATTGCTAGCATTTCTAATTAGTTCATGTAATTCAACCAGCCAATTCTAGACTAATGGAGTTTTTTTAAATTATTTTAATTCTGTTATGATTTCTTTCAAACTCAACAAGCCTCTTCATATTTTGTGCTCTTTACTCCTCATTTATGGATAAATTAATCATGAAATCAGGTACTATTTTCTATGCATGTGTGAAAACTTTATTGTTGCTCTGATTTATTTTGTCTTGCTGACATTCCATATTGTACATTATCAATACAAAAGAAATTGACAAGAAGAAAAAAAAAGTATATGATACCTCGAAAAATAAATTACTTTCTCAACGGAATCATCTTAAAAAAGCAATTACTGTTACCTTTGCCCCCCAGACAAATTCCTTCTTCCCTATCCCCCTAAATTCCATGTGCTACATTCCTTAGATAGCCTCAGTGTACTTACTATTCTTTGTCTTTTTAGTGTTCCCAATTCCCTTTAATCCACATATTAATTAATCCTTACTGGTACAGGACACAAGGTCAAACCGGCCAAGACTTCAAGTACCAATAGCCAGCATTGTTGTGGTATTAAACATAAACAGTCATGAAAGATAATAGACAGACAGGTATTGAACAGTCTATTGCAACGTTAATCATAAACTAGCATTAACAGAAAATAAATTCAACTAATTTATAAATGTTTTGAGCTATATCACCAAAATATTATTCATATGAAAAGAAATAAAATGTTACAGACTACTAAAATATCAGTGTAACAGTGGTTGTCATCTAGATCCCAAAGGTAAAATGGATGAATTGTGCCTTGTTCATAATGAACTCATAAACCAATTTACTTCCTTAGAAGCTGACCATGGGAAGTTGCAGATCTAGAAGGCCGACCTGGAAGACAGGGACAGGAGAAATCATGTCAGAGTTAGGGGCAGCAATGAAGATATTGATTTAGAGGGTTTGCCCTCTTACCTTATGCCTGATACTCTTGAAATTCATAGCCGACTCTATAAAAGATAAGAGCCCATACAATACCCAAGCTGCACAACATGGCACAGTATGCTTAGAGATAGTAATACAGAGCGTCTGTAAGCTTTAATGTTGGTAGCAAGAAAGTTTAAACAATTCCCAGATCAGTATAGTTGTCTGGCTATTTAAGCTAACCTCTCTGCAACTACAATGGCTAAAAGGAGGGATTTCAACACTGTTACAAAGATCTTCAGAGACCGTAACATCTCATATCGCTGGGGATTCCCAAATAAACGTCTGATATGGTGCAAGTAGGGCAACTTGAGTTGTCAACACTGCAGATGAGGCAATGCAGAGCCTTGGAAATTAGACCAGTGAATTTGGTACCTTGTCTTCCTGAAATCTCTGGCAGAAAGTAAGCTCCTCATCCAGTACCTAGGCTTACTAGGCATACTGGAAGGACAGGACATCATTTCACCATTCCATTGGACAATTTTTCTATCAGCAGCCCACAAAGAATTGATAGGTTCCCCATTACTAACTGCAGGGTCCAGGGACTTTGGGCCTGTATTGTATCTTGTAAAGGGGGTAATCACCCAAGGAGACTACAGACACATGTTTTTGTTTTGTTTTGCCAGTTTTATCATTTTAAATTTGTTTGGGATGAGTTTGTTATTATATGCAGTGGTATATAACGCTGGTTCCTCCCTTATGGAACTTATCAACCCATACTTCAATCTTCTACTAGACAGCTTAGTTCACACTATATTGGGGTCAAAAGGAGAACCACTGTAGGTTCTCAAGGGGTAAATGTTAACCTGCTACTGTTTTTGAAAAATAAAAAAAATGTTTAAAAAAAAAATAAAATCACACCAATATGGTCTACAAAAATATTGTAGAAACTATACTGACACCTATACCTAAATGATCAGCCAAACCCTATAATGGAACTCGGTATATTTTTCGTCTTCCCCAATATGAATAGATTATACATGGTCATTTGCATTTGCCTGATGTATGATGACACTCTAAATAACTACACCTATGTATCTCCCATGCCAGGTGCACACAATTCAAGTTTATGTTTGCATATAGGCCTCAATGGCGATCTTCTTTACCCCCCCCCCTGCATATAGGCCTCAATGGCGATCTTCTTTACCCCCCCATCCCTGCCTGTACATCAAAGATAAAATGAACCATTCCCTCTACTGCACTATTCACTTATCTCTGCATCAAACACACTCATTATTATTATTATTTTTTTATAAAGTGAAAACAAATTCTGCAGCGCTGTACAATGGGTGGACTAACAGACACTTTTTTTAAGCTAGGCCAGATGGATCCCCAAGAAATTAGGTACTATTTTCTATGCACGTGTGAAAACGTTATTGTTGCTATGATTTATTTTGCCTTACTGACATTGTATGTTTTACATTATCAATACAAAAAAAAAATGAAATGATATCTCAAAGTATAAATTACTTTCTCAACTAAATAATCTAAAAATATACAAATACAAAAGCAATTACTGTTACCTCTGCCTCCCAGAAAAATCCCATCTCTTTCCCTATCCCCCTAAATTCCATGTGCTACATTCCTTAGATAGGTGGCTGGTTCTGCCACACTATTCATATTCAAGACTGAGTTGGTTTGATAATTTGGGGTCCTCGAACAGACTAAAGATATATTGTTCGACTGTCGAACAATCTACTGAACAGTGAGCCCACCCAGGGGAATCGTGTGCCTCCAATTTACGGTATTCACACTTAGAAAACGCAAGGTTCTAAGTGGTCAGATGGGTGGCCATCGTTCGTATGACAGAACATGTGGCAGCGGCCATCTTTGTAAACGAACAGAGAGCGGTGTTTGGTCGTCTAGTGCATTGAATTATAATCGGACACTCGACATCGCGAACACCGCTGAAGTACCATCCTTTTGTGTCCCTTCACCTATAAAGAGTGGCATTTGTATGAAATAAACTACCGAATACAGGGCACACGACCCCCTGTTACATGAACAGTTCCCTTCGTTATTTTAATGATGAATACTCCCGAAAGAAGACCGGTCAAAGCCTAAAACCATCTGGAACTATTTTGGGGTTTCACCTCGTGGTTGACCAGTCTAAACTTCACTCGAATGGCGTTCCTAATCTACCGAATGGATCTGAGTGATATTTCGACAGAGTGGATGCTCACTCTGCTATTTGGTGAAGTGTCTTTCGTGGAGTTCTTAATAATATTAATGTTGTACATTTTCTGTACCTTGGAGTAAATGTAATTAAAGAGTTGTCCTTACTCAGTTATCTCCCAGGTACAGAGGAGGAGTCTCCAATAAGGTCCACCAGTGGAAAAGCCCTGGAATTTAAATTAAGAAACCCCCTTGCATGGGAAGTTGCATAAAAGCCAGCTGTGGCAGAATACAAATTAGTTGAATCCAAGAACTGTGTATCGTCCAGTTATTGGGAAATTGGGATTGTGTTGCTGTACTGAGCTTCTCTTTGATGCTCTACAGTCTACCAGCGGGGATATTGATTTTAATATTGCAGCTCCGGTACAATTGCTGGCAAGCGACGGGATATAAGCCTCGCAAAGCAGCGTTCGTGTGTTGGTTTATACGATTGGGAAAGTGAAGCAGCGGTTCGTATACAGTCCGGCTATACGAATGAACGAATTAATGGAGATGAATTATGCAGCACTAAAGCAAACAACTTTAAAGGAACTATTGGAAGAAAGGGGTACGGTAGCCAGCAACAAAGCGAAAGCTATTCTTATTGCCGAATTGATGGAGGGAGACCGAGTCAGCAGCGCTGTACCTCCACCAGCTGTGGTGGAAAACAAATTTGCAAGGAATTAAGGACAAGGCTGGCATTTTACCCGGAAACACCGTCAGAAGAAACCATGGCAAGATTGATGGCAAATGTACAAGATAACATATTGGCCAGACAACAGACAACCCAGCTACAACTAGCAGACCAGCGATCCAGAGAAGGGTCACCAGCGGTATCGGCCACCACACAAGGAAAAGCAAAACTCCCATACAATGCGTTGAAAGCCTTCAGAGGGTATCTTGATGGGTATCTTCAAGATTTTGAGAGACTGTGCCACTTACATGACATCAGACGAGCAGACTGGGTACCTCTGTTGGCAGGCAAACTGCCTGGACGTGCAGCGGAGGCGTACAGGGCAGTACCAGACGAGGACAGCAAGGATTACCACCTGGTGAAACAAGCCATCTTAGGGCGATATGCCATTACCCCAGAGGCATGCCGATTCCAAGAGCTCAAGAAACATGAGAAGGACTCGTACGCAGAGTGGGCTTATCGACTGCAAAGAGCCGCCATGGGGATGGGTCCAGGCTAACCAAGCCACAACTATGGAATAACTGCTGCAATTGATCCTCCTGGAGCAGTTCTTCAATGGGCTAGTACCAGAGGCGCAAGAATGGGATAAAGACCGTAGCCCCCTTACCCTCTCCGACGCCGCTCGGATGGACGACGAAGACTATGACGCCACCACTCTAGACCAGCAGTGTCGACATCAGCACCACCTGCCCATGGCCCACAACGTCATGGTACTGGGTTCAACACTTCCGCACCCAGGTTCCAACCCTGTGCCAAAATCCGATGTCACCTATGCCAGCAGTTGGGACACATGCAGAGGGAATGCGCACAGAACCGGAACTGCAACGCATAGGCTCGTCCGGGTCAACCACGACAAACAGAGCAGTGGCCCATTGCTACCAAACTGAGACCAGTACCCGCGATACCGTCCCCAGCTACACTGAGGAACAACTGGGTGTTTTGCATGTAGTCGACCCCGTCCAGGCTGCGTCAGACAACTGACAACACCACAGGCAAACGGTATGTCTGGAGGGGAAGAACGTCCAAGGACTCAGGGACACCGGGGCCACGTTAACCTTAGTCAAACACCACTTGGTCCCAAACACAGCACGTACCGGAGGCTCCGTGGCAGTACGGGTAGCCGTACTCACTTCTAAAGTTAATTTGCATTGGGGTGTGGGGTCGGGAGTTGTGGAAGTGGGGTTGATGCAGAACTTACCTGCAGATATACTGCTCAGGAATGACTTCAGCCAACAAACCTCCGCATTTGTACCCCAAACTTCAACCAGCGGCGTACACACAACAGATGGCGGTGGGCACCACAGTATGTACGCCAGTGCATGCAGATACGCATACACTTAAAAGGACCACTATAGGCACTTACTCTTTCACTGAGTATTAATCCAGCTGTAACGGATCACCTGGCACCCCGACTGGGTACCTCCTTTGAAGCATGCTCCTAGCGCTTCCTGAGGACTCCAAGCACTGCAGTAGACACCACAACCACCGAACCGGAGAAGCATACCTCTGTCCAGCTTGAAAATGTACCATTAATGACAACTCTTTGTAATCTATTTTTAAGCCAATGTTCTACCCAAGAACAAGCATTTTCATCTAGACAGATTTCCTTGAGTTTGAACACTAATCTATTGTGTGGAACTGTATCAAATGCCTTGGCAAAATCCAAATAGATCACATCCACTGCAACACTCTGATCTATACTTCTAATTACTCGTAGAACGCAATCAAGTTAGTTTGACATGACCTGTGCTTCATAAAACCATGCTGATTTTTGCTGATAACCATGTTCTTCTCAAGGAATTCTTGAATATTATCCCTTAATAACTTTTCAAAGATTTTCCCAGCCACAGAAGTTAAGCTCACAGGTCTATAATTTCCAGGCAAGGATTTTGAACCCTTTTTTAATATAGGAACCACATCTGCCTTCCTCCAATCCTCCGGAACACTTCCTGAAAGAAAAGAATCTTGAAAGATTAAAAACAGAGGTTCACTTATTTCTACATTTAGTTCCTTAAGTACTCGTGGATGAATACCGTCAGGCCCTGGAGCTTTGTTTATATTAACTTTCTTTAATTGCTGCAGCACTTTGTCTTGAGTTAACCAATTACAATTATTCTGCAAGTTTTTAGCAGCAATCATTTGCACATGTATTGCCATGGGTTCTTCCTTAATATATATGGAAGAGAAATAGTTATTTAAAATTCCTGCCTTTTCCAGGTCTTCATTAAACTAACACCCCCATTTCAGTTTTTTTTTTTTTAAGAATTTATATACCAAAGAATGCTTTCGGGTTGGTTTTGCTCTCTTTGGCTATCATTTTCTCATTTTGAAGTTTAGCACATCTAATCGCCTTTTTGCACGCATTGTTGGCTTCCATATATATCTTTTATAGGATGCATCTGATTTAAATGCGTTTTTCTTATTTTTAATCTCTTGTTTTACTTCTCTACTAAGCCACATTGGTTTCAATTTGTTTTTTTATATTTATTACCCAATGGTGCATACTGAGAAATGTTCCTTTCTAATATTTGTTGGAAGATGTTCCATTTATCCTCCGTGTTCTTTTCAGTGTTGCTGTACTGCGCTTCTCTTTGATGTTCTACGGTCTACCAGTGAAGATATTGATTTTAATATTGCAGCTCCACTACAGATAGCCTCATTGTACTTACTGCTCTTTGTCTTTTTAGTGTTCCCAGTTCCCTTTAATCAACATATTAATCCCTACTGGCACAGGACACAAAGTTAAAACGGCCAAGACTTCAAGTACCAATAGCCAGCATTGTTGTGGTATAAGTTAAACATTTTCAAACTATGTATTGGCATAAACAGTCATGAAAGATAATAGGCAGACAGGTATTGAACAGTCTATTGTAATGTTAATAATAAACTTGCATTAACAGAAAATAAATTCAACTAATCTATTAATATTTTGAGCTATATCAGCCAAATTATTATTCATATGAAAAGAAAAAAAAAAATGTCTTAGACTACTAAAATATCAGTGTAACAGTGGCTGTCGACTAGAGCGATCCTAAGCGAAAATCAATGAATTGTGCCTTGTTCAAGGACCACCCCAGTACCTCATTAGAACATAGTACACTAAGTATCCAGTACGAAAACCACAACAGAAACAATTAATAAAATGCTCCCTTGGGTGGCTACCATTTTGTTCAACCGAACACACGTGGTAGACAGAATGGATGGCGGCCATTTTCGCTCTCGAACGCAGGCAGTGGTACTTGGTCATCCATTGCCTGGAACGGATTTCGGCTAGGCACTCCTGCGAACACCGGTGAAGATGGAACTGCTGCCCGTTCAAGTTTCCGAACACCCACATCAATGGTAAATCGTGAAGAGAGAGAAAAGGAGTGTCCTTAAAATATAACTTTTAATAGTAATTCTAAAATCTAGTCTGGATATCCTAAATGGAAATTATATTAAAACATTTAGTGATTAACTAAAGTATATACATTCTAATATACGGAAGTATAATAATAAACCAACGTATTAACATTCACTGGTTAATAGCTTGTCAATAGGAAAATATGTAAGGAGAGTACAGGCACCAAACCTATACACCTAGAGCCGGGACCCAGATGAGCACCACATTTACTATCCTACATCCATGTTTTTATTGCTACAATCTACACATTGGTTCGTTCTCTCTTTATGTTTTTGAGAACTACTCCAAGTCGAAGTGGAAGGGTGGTGCTACCATAATAAGCACACAAGCTTCAATACGCAGCCAGTGTTTTTATATACAGGCTTCTTGAAATGTGAGTGTACAGTTTATCACAATATTATTATTTCTGCATTGTCACTTTAAATACCATCTGCACTATATTGTATCTTTCTGTATTTCTTTGACATGTACTTCATATTGCACTATTCAACGAAAACGTTTGGTAAGCTGTATACGTGCTTGAGCGCTCCACTTATAGGTGTAGGTCTCAGTCACTTACACCGCACCATAATTTCTAAATTAAATAGTATTTACAGACATTTAGAAACCCTATCTAGTGGTAGCTGCAACGATCGTTTAGCATTGCTTAGTAATTATCGCTAGCCACAGAAAAATGTGTATATGATGATACACCAAAGTAAAGTATGGTATTGGGGAGATACGAACTACCGACTGGAGAGAGCATTCGACACTTGAAAGCTTTTGTATGTTTTGTGTAGTTTTCATATAAAACCTCTCGAACGGAGACCGGCCCATATCAAGATTCATCTGGAACTATTTTGGGCTTACACCTCGTGGCCGGCCGGTCAAAACTTTCCCTCGATGGCAATTCCAAACTACCGAACCGATCTTAGTGATTTTTGGATATGATAGTCACTCAGATCAGGGTTATCCGGGGATGTGATTCAAGGAGTTTCCATGGGCTTTGGGGGTACTTTTGGCGTGTTGTAAAATTGTTGTATTTTTCTGTACCTGGAGATAATGGAGTTCGTACAGTTTCTGATTCAATTATCTCTCAGGCACAGAAAAATACCAGAATTTTACAACACTCCAAAACCCATGGAAACCCCTCGAGAGTCACATCCCCGGATAGCCCTGATCTGAGTGACTAATGATTCACATAGCACACAGTCCAGTTCCTTGAGATTAAATGGTCTGAGTGCCTATAGTGTTCTTCTAAGGACACTCACTCCAGCCTCCCACAGCAACTCTTTGATAGTCTTTCCTCTTTTAATTTTTTTCCCCTCTACTGGTGTTCTTTTCTCCCTGCTATTTTTATTGTTTTTATCTTGTTTATTGGATTGTTAACAGTATGTGTTAGCACCAAAGGTGCTTATTTTAAGTTTTTCCATATTTTCTAGAAAAATTATAGTCTTATTGTTCTTTTTCTTTAATGCTTTATTTTTGTTTGTGCATGAATTAACAGTCTGGCTTACTATGCCACAGCAGCTGTGGAAAACCATTTAACAGCAAGATTTAACATGGCATGCAAAATACAGTGCACACTTTTTGTCAGATGAAAATTAACCAGATTATTAGGCATTTCAGATACGATTTTGTTAAAGCATGTCCTAGGGTGCAAGCTTTCAATCCTCCGTTACAGAAGTATGTGTTAATTGTCACACTTAAATGATATGCTAGGCAAATTAATAAAGTGTTATATGAACAAGTTTTGGCATAGTTTAATGCTGGCAGGGTCATGTCTTCGAACGGTACTGCTCTATTGTTTAGCATGTATTAAGGGGTGAAATTAAACAAGATTATTCCATACGCTTCATAAAAGAAAAGGGGGAACATATTGGCAATAGCTTATATCCTTTTAGCTAATCTGGGAGCCTGCCGTCTCAGTGGTAGGAAGGACAGATATAGGGTGCTTAAGTACATTACAGGCTCCAGACTTGCTGAGTGGTACTATGAGTGTAAAAGCTCATCGCTATGGGATCCCTCACCCAGCCAGAGAACGCAGGCTAGTAGTAAACGGAAATACAGTAAGGCATGCATATGGCTTCAGTTTCTAATGCATAATGTATGGTAGGCACTAACTTTTAAAACAAATTAAGAGAACATTTCAAATTAAATGAAAAGGTACAACAGTTACTCTTGGCATTCAGCCAGTTAAGTCCCGCACTGGGAGCAGGCTGATAGCCGGACCTGGGGCGGCTGCAGACCGTCATCCGATGCCGTTGATGTGCTTTAATAGATAGTCTGTTTGATAGCTCGGCCTGGTGTGTCGCCCTCCAGTTGGTCTGTGCTAAGTGCCAGTCTTCCCTTTGGGCTCCCCAGCCTGATTTGTGTGTGCGGTTCTGTGGTGAGCGGTTGTACATTGCGTTTGTCCGATGGAGTCGGTATGATCCCTTCCGCTTGACGTGAGCTACCTCAGAGCTCTGAGTCAGGTGTCTGTCACTTTGGCTCCTGTCTGTATGTGCAGGTAAGTGGGGCTGTATAAACTGATTGCCGTGTAGCCGCCTTATGTAGGTACGGGTTCTACGCCGCCGCGAATGTACCTTTTTGTTCAACGTGGGCCTCCGACTTGTCAGGCCAGGATCGTGGTTCCCAGTGGCTTGTGGGGTCGTTTTGCTCTGCGGGTCTCAGCATTGCTTTCCCTCTCCTGAGGCTGGGCCTGCGACATCAACATCCAATCTTCCAGCCCTCGCCAGAACGCTAACAGGGTATCTGACCTCCTGCCGGTCAGTGCCCTTGTTAGTCCAGCAGCCCACCCACAAAACACAATCAGTAATACAGCCCACCCACAATAACTGGTTACTACACCTGGGTAGAGGAGAACTTTGTCCATGTCCAGGTGCCTCACCATGGCTGTGTGGGTGACTGGTAAGCTGACTTGGTCGGTACTCTGTCCTGGTGCCAGCACTACCACGGGAGTAGTCTGGTTTGAGCCTGGTTGCTGGAGGGGGAGACCGCCTGTCTCCCCTTTAGATACACAGCTCTGCTGCCGGAGGGGGAGACAGACTGCCTCCACTTTGGCTAAACAGCCCTGTTGCTGGGGGGCAGAACCGACTGTCCCTACCCCCTGTGCTGTAAGTGCAGAGACCACGGTCCCATCTGCACGGTTGTGGGGCTTCTCATCTCCCCTTGGTGGGCTAGGCCGCCGCTGGGAAGGAGGAACAAGGCTCTCCTCTCCCGGTAGAATACTCTGCCGCTGGGGAGCCGGACTGACTGTCCGTACTCCCTGTAGGTTGGGCGCAGAGACCACAGTCCCATCTGCGCCGGTGGGGAGCTACGCTGGCGCTGGGGAAAGGGGGCAACAAGCTCCTCTCCCGGACACTCTTTCTGCTGGTGGAGAGGGGGACCGACTGTCTCCCCTTTCAATATATTGTCCCGCTGCTGGGGAGCGAGACCGACGATCTCTGCTCCCTGCCAGACACAGTGCTGCTGGGGAGGAAGGACGGCCCCTTCGGCTACCTGTAACACGCTCCACCGCTGGGGAGGAAGGACGACCTCTTCAGCTCCCTTGGACTCACTGCACTGCTGGGAGAGGGACCCCTGTCGCTACAGAGTTTTGTAGATCGTAGCTTCTTGGTGGGGACCTGGATAACCCCGACCGACACAGAGGGGTCTCTATTGGGGTACTGTTGGTCCGATCCTTCATCCCAGTAGATGAGACAGTTTCTCCAGTCCACAATGCCCTCTAGGCACAACTATAATTGTGCCTTTAAAATGGTTAACCTCTGTACATTCCACCCGTGGTCAGTAATTGCATCTAATATATCAGTAGTTATATCTCATATTTTAATAGCTGCTACGTCCTTGATACCCAGATATTGGAAAAAGGTTACATTACCATCTGAAGGAAAGTTATACATTTTATCAGAGAAAACAAAGATTATGAATTGGCTTTTAGACCTTCCATATTTTTATCAAATGTGAGCAATATATGGGACAAGCGGGATTCAAAAATAAACTAATAATATAGAGAGGTGGATTTATTTTCTCAGTATGGATAATTTAAAACATTTGTATTTATTTTCTTCTTGATGTTTAACATATTTCTGTTATATATTGCTTCTTTTTTGTTTTTTAGAATAAGATATACATGATTATCTCAATATTATGGTCAGTTGTTTTATATACCTTCCCTTCCCTTTTTCCCCTCTATTTTCTTTTTTGTTGTTTTAGAATGTCAATATTGCTTAATTGATACTTTCCTCTTATCTGATATTAATTCTTTATAGATATTATATTCTACTAATTGTTTAATTTATAAAATGTTCAATAAAAAATATTTGAAAAGTAATTGTATTTCAAGTAATTGTATTTCATGAATTTATGAAAGGCAGTCTTTACGTTTCTAATAAAGCTTATCAACTGCCTCAGGCAGCCACTAGGAGGCAGCAAAGCAGTATTTTTCAGAACAGTACTCTTGTTACAATGCCAAGGTTAAAGGAACACTATTGGCACCCCGACCACATCTGGGTGCCATGTGTTCCCCATTTAACCCTGCAGCTGAAAACATTGGCATTTAGCAGGAATGACTGTTTCCTTTGCAGATTTAACCTGCCTCTAGTGACTGTCGAAATGAGAGCGGAGTAATAATCTGCTATTTTTATCAGATGGTCTCAAATAACATAAGCACACTAGCCTAATTCAAATTGTTAGTTACCTTACAAATTTAAAATTCAAAGATCGTATCTCCGGAAAGATATTGATACTTTGGAGAGAATTCTGAGAAGGGCTACTAAACTGGTTCATGGATGCAGGATAAATTTTACCATGAAAGGTTAAAGGATCTTAACATGCATAGCTTGGAGGAAAGACGAAATAGAGGGGATATGATAGAAACATTTAAAATACATCAAGGGAATCAGCACAGTAAAGGAAGGGACTATATTTAAAAGGAAAAACCACCACAACAAGAGGACAGGGTCTTAAATTAGAGGGGCAAAGGTCTAAAAATAATACCAGGAAGTATTACTTTATAGAGAGAGTAGTGGATGCATAGAACATCCTTCCAGCTGAAGTGGTAGAGGTTAAAATAGTGAAGGAGTTTAAGCATGTGTGGGATAGGCATAAGGCTATCCTAGCTATAAGATAAGGCCATTGACTAATGAAAGGATTTAGGAAATTGGGCAGACTAGATGGACCGACTAGTTCTTATCTGCCGTCACATTCTATGTAAAATAAAATCACAATAACAAAGACTATAATGATAATAGTTTAATCGTTGCTGGGTAGGGATCGACCAATTATCGGTCTGGTCGATATTCTGTATTTTCAGCAATATCGGTATCAGCCAATAAAGATACCGATATTGCCAATAATGCAGACTAGGGCTGCAATCAGGGTCTCTTACACTCTTACTTACCTTACCAGCAGCTCCCCTGTCTAACTCTCACGAGTCCCGCAGCCGTCAGAGCGTTGCTGCAGGTTAAAAGTTAAAAAAAAAAACCCCCCCACTCCCTTTTTACACACACACACACACACACACACACACACACACACACACACTACATACCTACACAAACACACACACTGCATTCATTAATTCATTATACACACACTACACTATATACACATTACACACACACACACACACTACACAAACACTGCATTCACTATATACAAATTACACACACACACTGCATCCACTGTGTGTACACACACACACACACTGCATCCACTACACCCACATATATTCTTGAAAACAAAAAATACTGACTGGCATGTATATTTTGTGCATTTACCTTAATAAAAAAAAAAAAAATTTAAACATGTTCGGTTAACAGTAGATTTGTGTAGAAATAGTTTATTTTTTCAAAATGGTAAATGTACAGAATATCGGTAAGTTATCGGCAATCGGCCTGAAAGTTCACAGATTATCGGTATTGGTTAAAAAAAAATCAATAAAAAAAAAAATCAATATTGGTGAGACCCTGTCGGTAAGGGTCTACCCTTGAGAAACTGCCAGCAAAACAATATTGCAGCGGAGCACGACATGCTAAGTGGCATTGATTTAAAGAGCTGAATGACGTTCCCAATTTGAGTCCAATATCCACTAGAGGTGTATTTTTGGCAAAATATTAAAATTTGTTAACAGATTGCTGTTCAGAGACATAAAAATAGAAAAATTAAGAATGCTTAATTTACTTACATTGCGTCATTTACAATGCTAGTAGGGAAGCATTGAATGGTCATTGCATTTATTATGTCAAAGTGTTTTGATAAAACAAACAGTTCACAGTTCAAGAGTTTAAAATGATTTTGTAAACCGTGAATTTGTAACCTTTAGGCTATGAGACTCATCGTGGGTATTTTGTGTATCTGTCCAGACACCTGTCAAGGATTTAAAAATATTGAAAATGAACAGTCATTCAGAAAGATTGGAGAGGAAAACAGAACAAGCATTTTTCAAAATATTTCAATGATCATTGAAGCAGATGTAATTTTTACATATTTTGCAAAAACAAAAAACAATAAAAAAAAAAAAACAACAAAAGTGACCAATCTGGTTAGGATCCAGTGAAGCAGGGAAATGTAGGGGTTACTTACCTGAAGACTGTCCCTTGCAGCAGCTGACGCCTTTTTTTTCTGGGTGACCATCTTCAGCTCCTGGCCCTTCATCTGTCAGTCACGAGAGTACAACACTGAGAACTACACTAATCAGCAACAACATTAAAGCCATTTAATATTGTTTAGGTCCCCCTCGTGCTGCCAAAAAAGCTCTGATGCATTGAGGCATAGACTCCACCAATGTCAGAACGTGTCCTGTGGTATCTAGCACCAAGACATTAGCAGCAGATCCTGCAAGTTGCAAGGTGGGGCCTCCATGGATTTGGAGGTGCAGGCAGCACCTTGAACTCTGTCATATTCCTCAAACCATTCCTAAACATTTTTTCCAGTGTGGCAGGGTGCATTATGCTGATGAAAGACCCCTATCAGGGAACACCATTGACATGAAAGGGAGTATGTGGCATGCAACAATCTCCAGGTAGGTTGTACGTGTCAAAGAAACACCCACATGAATGCCAGGACCCAAGGTTTGCCAGCAGAACATTGCCTAGAGTATAACACTGCCTGCCTTCTTCCTATAATGCATCCTGTTGCCATCTCTTCCTCAGGTAAATGACGAACACACACGCAGCCATCCACCTGATCCAATATAAAACGTTATTCATTAGACCAGAAGGGCTAGCCTTTGCTCCCTACTTGCATCAATGAGCCTTGGACGCCTATTACACTGATGCTGGTTCCTCTGTTGTCCGTTCTTGCACCACTTTTTGCAGGTACTGCATGCCGGGAACACCCCACAAGACTTGCCATTGTGGAGATGATCTGCCCCAGTCGTTTAGCCATCACTATTTGGTTATTGTCAAAGTCACTCCGATCTTTTCGCGCCCATTTTTTCTGCTTCCAACACATGAAATTGTCTGTTCACTTGCTGCCAAATATATCCCAACCCTTGACAAGTTCCATTGTAACAATATAATCAATGTTATTCACTTCACCTGTTAGTGGTTTTAACGTTGTGGCTAATCAGTGTATATAGAATTCTGCGAGGCTGCTAGAGCCTGAATCACAAGTGATGGCTGCTGGAATTGCACAAAAGTTGAGGGCTCTGCCTTTTGTCTACCTCAGGTTTTTTGTTTTTTTCTTAAGACAAAGTAGTCTGTACTTTGTGTTATGGTCTCTTTGGATTCTGATGAAAATTTAATGAAATCACAATGCAGTCAGCTTCAGTATTTCAGAAAGATATCTTTAAAAAAAAAAATACTAAAAAGTGACAGACACTTTTAAATGCTTAAAAAGTTAAGACTGACGTGGCGGACTTTTTCATAAAAACAAAACAAAACAAAAACAAACAAACAGTATCAGTACCCATACTATAAAAGGGTATCTTAAAACAAAACAGGTACTGTTTTGTAAGTCAACAGAACTAGAAATGGGTTCTATCCAACAGATTGTATGCTAGTACAATTACAGGTAAATGCAACACTTCAATAAAAATTTTTTTAAAAAGCCACATATGAAACAAGCATGTCCTAGGAGAAATACTTGATTTGGAACATTTGTTATACTGAAAACCGCTATCAATATTTCAAGTCCTAGCTGGGTGGCCAATAATTTACTAGTTACACAAACTCAAAGGACAAGCTAGGTCAAGGAATCCAGAAACAAAAATAAGTGTAAAAAAATAAAAATAAATAAAAGATATATATAAAATTTTAAATGTATAATAAAATAATAATAATAAATATATATCCCTAAAAATACTACGATATGATTATATGAGGCGACTAGAACCATTAAAGGGAAGGTATCATGCCATCTAGCATTCAAACTTAAAATGATAGCAGGACCCAATGAAAATCCTGATAGGTTTAAAAAGAAATACACCAAGCACCATGACCACTTCACTGATTTGAAGAAGTCCACTGTGCTTGAAGTCAATACGTGCAGCATTTCACTATGAAATACTGCACATAGAGAAAATATTATTTGTTGACAGAGGTGTAACTCCACATCCGGCAACATCTTTAGCCAGCCAGGAACAAGAGTTCCCAGGCTTTATGTTAATTCTGGGCATCATTGCCATCTGTTGTCAGCACGCACAGCATGCTGGCGACAGAGTCAATGGTGTCATGCTTCCTCCCCATGTGCTGCCTATATCTTACCCCTCCAGCAAGCGGGACTGATGTCCCCATAGGAGCTTCAGGCTAAAGAGATAATTGCTGGATCAAAGTGAGTTTTTTTCCCCTATTTATTTTTTTTTTGCAAGGGTTGGAACATGCCAGTAAGGGTTGCTCCATTCATAAAAAGTGTTTTATTATAACATTTATTTATTTGGAGTAACCCTTTAAGAATGAAGCAAAGTGGGGTGAATTGGTATTGAATTGCAAAGCCTCAGCAGTATATCAGTTTCTAGTTTCATCAAAATCTAATGCAAAATGCTGCAGACACTCAACAGAGTTGAGTAAGAATAACAGCATGGTCCAAATATGTCCTTTCCTTCTAAATACGCAGGCACGTTCAACGCTGGTAAGGATGTTACGCTGTTCATTTTGAAAAAAAAAAAAAGGGGGGGGTTTTAAAAATCAACATGTTAGAAACATTTAAAAAACTATTAGTTCATATAACAAAAATGCAGTTGGAAGTTAGAAAATATTTGCCTGGAGGAGAATGCAATGACTCCAGTTTAAACTTGATATTTTATTTCTTACTTAAAAGACTAACAAAGAAACGATTTGCTCTGAGGTTCATCTCTCTACCATAAAGAAATATTTTTAATACAGATCATTTTAGAGGATACAAATTGCCATATTGTTGGGTGGGTTCAAGAACTTGGTCATTGAGTAGAAAGAAAAGGTGAAAAAATATATATTCTAAACTAGTATCACATGGTTAAATGTAGTGTCTGGTGGGAGTCTTTGACCAAAATTATGTAGGTCAAAACTATTGTTCATTGAATCATTCTGTACGAAGAAGTGTCCTTGTGCTCTTCTAGAGTAAGTAGTCAAACCATTTAAGAACAGTTTAATAACTCACAACCACCCCCACCACCACTATAAAGCTTAATGATCCCAATGTGAACAAAACAGGCTCCATATTCTTAACATTGTAGAGCAGTGGTAGGCAACCTTCAGCATGCCAGATGTTGTGGACTAGATTTACCCTGATATTTTGCCACCATTATGGCTATAAGAGCATTATGGAAGATGTAGTCCACAAATCTGGAGTGCCAAATGTTGCCTACCCCTGTTCTAGAGTATTTCTTGAACTTAACATTACCACAAGAGTGATTTTATGAACAACCACACAATGTTCCATGTATCAGTATTACGTAAAAAAAGCCATGATATATGTAGTCTTCCATGGGTTAAACATCTTAACCCCTTAAGGACGGAGCCAAATGTACACGTTGTGAACAAAACAAAATGTAAACAAAACCTGGCATTTGCGTTACATGTCTGTCCAACTGTAATTCACCTCTTTCATATTAAATACACCCACCCTTATTATATATCATTTTATTTAGGGGAAACAGGGCTTTCATTTAATATCAAATATTTAGCTATGAAACATAATTTAATATGAAAAAAATGGGAGAAAATATATATTTTTTTTAGTTCTACATGACATTTTAACGGTCAATGTCATAATACTGTTTGCTTTTACTGCAATAAAATACATATATTTATATTCAGCAAAGTCTCACGTGTAAAATAGTACCCCCTATGTACAGGTTTTATGGCGTTTTTGGAAGTTACAGGGTCAAATATAGCACGTTACATTTGAAATTGAAATTCGCCAGATTGGTTACGTTGCCTTTTGGACTTTATAGTAGCCCAGGAAAGAAATTTACACCCATAATGGCATATCATTTGCAATAGTAGACAACCCAAAGTATTGCAAATAGGGTATATGTCCAGTCTTTTTTAGTAGCCATTTGGTCACAAACACTGGCCAAAGTTAGCGTTAGTATTTGTTTGTGTGTGAAAAATGCAAAAAAAAGCCAATTTTTTTATTTTTACACTTTTAAATTGTATTTATTTGATTTCCAGCCAGCAGGGGGACCACCTGTCATTACAGGCAGCCCCCTGCTGGCAATGCAGCAGCCAGCTATCCCGGCCATGTGATTGTGAGGTCCTCACTCTCACATGGCCGGGGGGGCTGCCAGGGGGTCGGACGTGCCGCGGGGGGCTCCCTGGGAATCCGGGTAAGTAAAGAAAGACCGGAGGGCGTACTATTACACCCGGCGGCGTTTAGAGCCGCCTAAAATAGGGCGTAATAGTACGCCCTCCGGTCTTAAGGGGTTAAAGAATAAGGATAAACAGTGTAGAGAAAAAAAAAAAAAAAACAGTATTCACACACTAATAAAACTATCATACTGCATCATTATGTTCAGAAATATACAGTGAGATCAGGCTTTGTGAGTAGACTACAAATAAAAAACACCCCCATTGAGTTTTATAATTACAATTTTTCCCACTCAGTTTCTTATTGTCTTAAAATGTTCACTGACATGCTGTGAAGGCAAAAATAATTAATCTTAAATTTCCAGCTGTTAGAAGAACAGGGGCTTCTACATTTACTCATGGCATTTTTTTTTTTCTATTTCCCATTTGTAAAGTGGTAAGTTGGGTTGCACCTCATTCATTCTAGGGATATACAGATATTTTGCTTAGTGTTCACATACACTGTAAGTAGTAGACATGAGATAGGTTACGAGAACCAATATGTTTATTAATAGTGAAATAGCAAGAGACAGGCAGATGATTAATCGAATGTAAATATAGATATAAACAATGTTTTGTTACCTTACTTAAACTTAAAGACACTTCTCTTTCAGTGTTCAAATACAAAGTTTCAGAGATTTTCAAAATCCTCTTCTGCTCTATTATATTGCAGTAATTTGTCATCCAAATTACAGTTCTCTATTAGCTGTGTGAGGCTGATTTTGGAATTTTCGGTTGATAAAGTTGTTTGGAGTTCATAGAGTACTTGCTGGCTACTTTTCCTCCATTTTTCTATCAAAGAGTGTAGCTCTGTTAAATTGTTCTAAATGAGAGACAGAGAGAGAAATTTTGTAACTTTATCAGGGTGAAATTTTAAAATGTACAAACGTATTAAGCCAACAACCAAATATATTAAAATGAATTGGAAAAAAAGATAGTTACATATGCTGTACAGTTCAACTATAAACAAATACTTACACAAAAGGCACACCAATCACATTGACCGAGAGTTATAGAGTTACTTACACAGATCAGATTGTTTTACAAATCATTTAATATTGGTTCTTCGCACAATTTTACAGTTAACCTGTCAAAAAGAACAACTCACTATAGTGGTTCTGTTGCCAGGATTACCTTGGCACTCCCACTACCAAACCATGATGCACTCTCCACACTACATCTCCTATGATGCTTTGCCAGCTTTATGGCTAGAATAGCATTATAGGGCATATAGTCCACAAAACATGGAGTGATAATCGTTGCTTGTCCGTGCCCTAGAACATGCTTCTGAAGTTTAAATTATCATGCACAAAACATGCCTAAGCATGTTGTTTTACAGAGTTATAATTTAGTAAAATATGTTAATGTAAAAAGTGAGAACCCTCACAATTCACAGATGTAAAAGACTGAAATTAAAATTTTTTTATATATATATATTATATATAAATTATTTTTATTATAAATAGTAATAAGTCTGGCCAAATGGCGGCTACGATTAGCACTGCAGGTCTTTGTGAATTACAGATCTCATGATAACACAACCAGTCTTCAAGTAGCCAATTAGTCATCATTGCACTAGACTATTTTTAGAGGGTATTTTAGTGTGCCTCATTGGAAATTTGATTTAAAAGCATTTTAAAGGAACATTTTAGTGTTAGGAATATGAACGTGTTCTTCCCCCCGCAATGTTGTAAAAGGTTAAATAACCCTTTAATCACTTACCAGATTACAGCTCTGAGTCATGCTCCACCTCCTCCGATGTCAGCTTATGGGGGAGGGGGGACCGAATGAGCATGCGCAGTGAGAGGCACATGCATAAGGCCTTTCCCATAGGAACGTTTTTCCTCAATGATTTCCTACGGGGTTTTCCTTGACACTGGATGCCCTTGTGCAGAGCGTGAGGACGTCAAGCTCCATGTAACTCCAGGAAGCTCCTATAGTGGCTGACTAGAGGCAGTCTTAGTACTGCAATGTTTTACATTGCAGGACTAAGGGAGGCACTTCAATGAGATGAAGTGGTCTGGCTGCCTATAGTGTCCCTTGAAGAATAGAAACGTGTCAATTCTGAATGCTCACTTCATGACCTAGCATTATCAAAGAAATGATCGTAAGGATGAAAGCCTAATTTACTTCACATAAAAAGTGCCCTGTTGTCCCCATCATAATGGAGTCAACCTTACCTTGGGTTCGCAGGGCACCACTCCTCACCTCCTGTACAGCTCAGTAAGAGCTGAAAGCTACTACTCAGGAGATTCTGTTCACTCTCCTGCTTCCAGCTCTCACCAAGTTGTAGTCAAAAAGGGGAGCAGCACCTGGCAGGCTGCAAGTAAGAAGTCAAACCATTCTAAAATGGTTTGACTCCTTACAATGTGGGTAACAAAGAAATCCCGGCACCATAACCACTACATCACTATGTAGTGATTGGAGTTTTCCTTTAAGATTGTATGGTGTGCATATCTATACAAGGATACTAGCATGAACAAAGTATACAAAGAGTTGCATGCTAAAATAGCTTTAGAATAAAAACTGCTAGGTTGAAAAAGTCACAGTGTGAGACACTCTCACATGTTCTTTGGTTATTTTCAGACTCAATTTCATTTTAAATTTATTTTTTTTAATAAAAGTTTGCAAACTCTGACCTAAATTGTTCTAGTACCTTAGATCTATAAAGCTTAACCATTTTCAGTCTTCTCAAGAATTCTTCCTTGTCCTCCACTCTCTTTAATAATCTCCTTTTTAACTCAACCATCTCCAAGTAACCAGTAGATCTGTCTTTAGTAGTTTGCGGCAGTGATTCCAGTGACGTTCGGTCTGGTGGACTAACCACATCTCCAGTTTGTATATTGCTATGTACAGCTCCAGACAGAACTGTGTTCTTTACATTTTCCAGAGAATCTTCACATTTTTCATATACATTAGAGTTGTTAGTCATAGACCCCTCAATGTCTTCACTGTCTATTTTAAGACGTTTTACAACAGGACATGCTGAACTAAAAGACCTTCGAGTTTTTCTGAGACGTTCACGCAGTGTTGCACTCATAGGCTAGAAACAGGGGGGGAGAAAATAAATCTAATTTATCCAAAAATAATAACAATTAATTACCAGGAATACAAGAAAGCATGGTTTCTAATTTAAAAATATCTAACAAATTTACAAAACCAAAAAGAAAGAAACTATGGGAGAGAGTTATAAGGTAATATATGTGATAATTTGGGGTCAAAGTGCTCAAATATTACATACGTTCTATTGGTTTTTGTGGTGGTTGCTACTTTTGTAGCATTTGCCCCAAAGTAGTACTTTTGCCTCAATAAATATCCCTTGTGTTCAAATAACATGTCAGTTTTGCTTTGTTAAATAATACAATTAGCAATATTATACATAAAAAAATATATATATATCACAAAGTTTATTATGTGCTTTATTCAAATAATCTGGTTACTGATACCCAACAAAGGCATAAAATTCAGTAAATCAAAAATGTATGTTGTGCAACAATCCATTGTGACATTTTTACAAGATGCTTTACTTTCACAATGCCCTCTCTCAGTAAACATTTCAAAATCAAAGCTGGCCCGGGGAGAAATTTGTGAAATTACAGCCATAGGCAAACAAACTCAAAAAGTATGACCATCACTCAATTGTCAAGATGATATATGTACGGACTGCAAAACTGACTCATTTTGGAATCTGTATACTTTCATAAAATAAAAACTTGTACATAGATTTTTTGGGTATTTAGTCATTGTTAGATATTAGTAAAGAAGTTATAAAGGCCTCTAGCCGAACAATGATTGTTACAATATTGGTATTAGGCTTATTTACAGGCAGCTTTTTCAATTCTATTTTACACAAAATAACTTACATTTTAGAAAGGCAATACTGTAATTGTGCATATATACACACACACACACACACACACACACTTTAAAGATGCATATCATTTATTCCATTCCGTGAATTTCCATGCTTCAATTTGAAGCTAACAGATTTATCATCCATGTTTTTCACGTGTAAATGGGAAGTGGAGATTAAAACTATGTCCCATCTATAACTACATGAAAAAGATGGCCTTCCACTGCAGTAGCAACAAGTGGAAGTTATTAAATCCCAACAGCCATTTATGATTGGCGGAGGTATACATCTCATTAACATCTGTACAGAGTTAAGGGTAGAACTGCATGTATCTGATAAGACACATAGCAGTTTTACTCATTTGTGTTTTAACAGAGCATGTAGCTTGTACATTTTAACATATGTGTCCTTTTTGATGGAGTATACCTCACAATAATCTGGAGAATTGACAGCAGTTTGGTGGCTATTAGCGGTGGTCGTGTAGCTGGATGTGAGCTGAATTATACTAGTGTGGATGTCAGCAAGTGCCTCAGTTTTTGAGCAGCCTCGATTGTCGGGTGTAGATTATAGAAAATAGTGTTGCAACTAATGGAGTTTGGGCCGACTTTAGCGGTTAGTGCCCTAAACAAGGGGCTGGGGGTAGTCGCGGTAGGTGTTTTGCTTTATCCCTGCACACCTATCTCCCGGGGCATCAAACCATATATCAAGATCCAATGGCAAGGGTGGTGGGAGTGGATTTATGTTTGGATTGTTTTTTCTTGGGTAACGGTACCAGTCAGGGTTGTCCTCTCTCACTAATTCTATACATATTATATATGGAGCCTTTAGCAGTAAGAATAAGGTCAATCCCAACCATTGGGGGGATTCCAGAAGCTTTAAGAGATTTGAAGAAGTGTATGCATGCTGATGATCCCATTGTCTCCGTTCATTTAATGAGATATCCCTGTACAGTGAGGTATCTAATTACAAAATAAATCGGTGGTTATGTTCAGAAATTGCGATGCGGATATAAAAAAATACAAAAAACAAATACTGGATATGTATGGCTTTAGAGAGCCTATGTGGAGTTTTGAATACTTAGGTGTTATGCTCTCAGACAAACAAACAAATAGAATAGTAGAAGACAATGTTTTGAAATTGATTAGATCAACAAACCTAACTTTTAAAAAGTGGAATACTTTGTTATTGAGCTGGCTAATATTATTACCGCTTATATACTTCCCAAGTGGACTTTTATTTTTAGTGATTCCACTTTTTATAAAAGTGTTATATGTTAATTCGAACAATGTCTCAAACCACTTTAACGAACTAGTTAAAAAAAATTGGAAATTGAGTGCAATATTAAAGGACCACTCTAGGCACCCAGACCACTTCAGCTTAATGAAGTGGTCTGGGTGCCAGGTCCTTCTAGGGTTAACCCATTTTTTTTTATAAACATAGCAGTTTCAGAGAAACTGCTATGTTTATGAATGGGTTAAGCCTTCCCCCAAATCCTCTAGCGGCTGTCTCATTGACAGCCGCTAGAGGCGCTTGCGTGATTCTCACTGTGAAAATTACAGTGAGAGCACGCAAGCGTCCATAGGAAAGCATTGCAAATGCTTTCCTATGCGACGGGCTGAATGCGCGCGCAGCTCTTGCCGCGCGTGCGCATTCAGCCCAGGAGGAGGAACGGAGGAGGAGAGAAGGAGGAGAGCTCTCCGCCCAGCGCTGGAAAAAGGTAAGTTTTTAACCCTTTCCCCCTTCCAGAGCTGGGCGGGAGGGGGTCCCTGAGGGTGGGGGCACCCTCAGGGCACTATAGTGGTCCTTTAATATTGATGTTAGTGTCTGGGGTAAAACACTAGTTAAATTAAAGAAACATTTTCATAACATAATACTGATTGAAACTTTTTATAAAGTATGTAATAGGTGGTACTTCGTGCCAACGAGACTAAATAAAATTAACCCTAGTGCTTCAAATATCTGTTGGAGATGCTAGAAGGCAGGGGGAAGTTATCTACACACATGGTGGAGTTGCCCAAAGATTAAAACACCATGGGATCAGGTCTACAAAACGTTATACAATATTGATAAGATTAAAATGTATAAAATTCCGATGACAGCATTATTACATTTGGACTGGCTGGATTTAACAGCATCTCAATACTATTTTGTTACACATGGCTTCCTGTCTATGAAGATTCTCATAGCAAGAAATTGGAAACAACCTACAGAAATCAGTTATACTCAATGGGTAAAACAACCAACATTCCAACTAAAGATGAAACCAAGTATAAGCTGGAGAAATAAATCCCCGGTCATTAATAAAATATTGAGAGAAATGTCTTGATATAGTATTGGCACTTACATAAAGTCTGAGTAAAATATGCACTTTAGAATTTTTAATATATAAGGAATAGATAAGTACCTCTCTCTTAGCGGTCACTTTTCCTCTCAGGTAGAATGTATTATGTATGAGACAATGCAAGTATTTTGTCTGTTTAATGTATTATTTATTTTATATATATACACAATGAGCTAAAGAAAATGTGTTGCTCACACTACAGAGAGAGAGTGAATGTTCCGTACTGGGTCTCACAATATGCTTCAAATATAATTGTAAACATTTCTGGAAAGGAAAAAATGCTGCACATCCTTATAAGTTAATTATTTTCCCATTTGAATCACTGTAAAACAACACATCTTGAAATGAAAAACCCAAGTACCTGGAAATATTTCAAGCATATTAAAGTTTATGGAAAATTAAGTACCACTATAGTGCCAGGAAAACATACATCGTTTTCCTGGCACTATAGTGCCCTGAGGGTGCCCCCACCCTCAGGGTCCCCCTCCCGCCAGTGCTCTAGGGGGTGGAAGGGGTTAAATTTACCTCTTTTTCCAGCAGCAGGCGGTGGAGTCTCCTCCTCCTCGTCGTAATTGGCTGAATGCGCATGTGCGGCAGGAGCCAGTCCATAGGAAAGCATTCAGCGGGTGGGGGCCCTTAATGAAAATGCACCCCTCCCCCTTCCATGGTGACTAGGGGTCCCCAAGCCCCTAGTCCCCCCCCCCCCCCAAATTAAAAAAATAAAATAATCCCCTACCTACCGCCCCCTCACCCTAAAAATAGTGAGTGGGGAATAAAAGAACTACCTGTAAAAAATGTTTTCAAAACTTACCATTTGATGTCTTCTTTTTTTCTAAATCTTCATTTTTCAGCCCCCCAAAAGGCCAAATAAAAACTATAATACCTGTCGAACCTAATCTGAGGAGCGCAAAAAACCCTACAAAAATAAAAAACCTGATGCGAAAAAGTTAATTCATCTTCAATAGGTCCCCCCCTCATTTTCCTTATGGCCCCCACCCACCGCTCAGGGGTGGGGGGTACTAGGGTTGTTTTTGTTTTTTTAAACAGTGAGCAGCCACAGGCAGTATAGCGAGTAGGGGCAGCATTTACTAATACTGAGTAATCTTTACTTAGTATTAGTAAATGTATAGAAAAGGAGAAGGGAACCGCGCCTTATATTAGCTGTATATACATACACTTTATATCTCGAATGATGTAGATAATTTATCCTCAAAAAAAGAGAACACAAAGAGAAAAAAATAATAGTGCAGTATATTTGACAAATTGAAAAGGTAATATAGAGAGCGAAGGTATTTTAAACTCACATTTGGTAGAGCTAATATGGAGCTCTACCGTAATTCGCACGGACGGTACAATCCCCGTCTCAGGATTAGAAGTCCAAAGTCTTCAGTACTCCAATATTTTGGTGGTATAAATGGGATGAAAAAAAAAGAGAAGAGAGAGAAACTCCAATGGTGTGGTAACTCTAACTTCAATTGTAGAGAAAGTAAATGAAAGTAATTATACTCACATTTGCTAGAGCAGACAACTTGCTCTAGTGTATAGGGCTTGCAGTGGTATAATCCCCACTGTAGGATGTGTAGACCAGGAAGTGATGAGGAGAATAAATGTTAAAGTAAAAAGTATATCACTTTAAAAAATATATTTAATAATAACAATAGTGGCAATAATAAAACAAAAAGGCTATATAAAATAACACTTTACGCGTTTCGCCAGTTAGGCTTCATCAGAAGTGTAAATAAATAACCTCAAATCGTTCCTTTAAAATATATAACTTACATAAGTGGAGATGACTTCCTGGTGTGTTTAGATTGTGGGACGCGCGCGGCAAAACCGGAAGCGACGCGGCGTCCACTTGTGGTATATTTAGATCTTTCAGCCTTTTAGTAGATAGTAGATAACTCCCTAATACAGCCGCAGCACGAATAGGATCGGAGTTTCATTCATATGAATGAAATTCAGATACGAACAAAGTCCCGAAATGCATCCTAACACGAATGGAGAAACTGTTCTCATTCTGTTAGTACGCAATTCAGCAGTTTTGCTGGCATCCTGTCTAAATGACAGGATGTTCGGCAATACTGACAGGAAGCATCGCGGGAAGAGAGAGGAAAGCTTAGAATTGTGGGAAAATTTCTCTGACCACCGGAAATGAAGCACACTTTGCTCCTCCGCTGGTCAGAGATAGTCAGGCATAGGACACCTCCATAAGACAAGTAGTCCCTCCTTTGTCCTATGTTTTAAAGAAAACTAGAGTAGACAGGAAGAAATGAAGAACAGATCCTGAGAGAGGGAGAGAAGAGGAAGCGATTAAAGAAAGTTCATCATGATAGTGCCGCTTTAAGATGACAGGGACACTGGGACAAGGAGGTGAAGTATTCTGGGTGCATATTGTGTCCGAGATCAAAAAACAATAACTAAATGTGCAAATAGGGTATGAAAGGTCACCCAATTTTATTTTGGTGAATCAATGCAGAATACACAAATGTAACAAGTGTGATGCAACATATGGTGCCCCCAATGAGATAGAGATATAGAGAAGGAGCGTGCAAAAAATAACTAGGAAATGCAAAACTGAATAGAAAATGTGTCATGTGAAAAACATGTAATTCTCATGTCTCCCATAAGCAGCAGCACTTTATTAAGCACCATAACTCCATGCATACCTGGTTTCCTACTACGTTGTTCTGAGGATCCGGTGACCCTAGATATTGTTTAGTTGTACACAGAGATGCATTATGTGTGTAGTGTGCTTCCATGTTACACGTATAAGCTTGAGTTTCTCACTGCAAAGAAAAGGTTATTAGAAAATTAGCAAATTTCATATTTTGTTTTTGTATTTTGTGAAAATGGTTCAATGACAAAGGAACAACCTATTAGACTGAGCAAGTACCTACATACAAAATAATACTTTAAAGTTGATCACCTCCCCCCCCCAAAAAAATATTTATAACGGTATAATATATATATTATATTTATTTATTAGATATATCAGTATTTCAGTATTTAGTATAGAATCTTTATGAAATACTAATTTTGACTGTGTTGGAATTTCATTGAAATACCTACCTTCCTGTATTCATTTAGCAGCCCAACTATTCAACATGACTTAGGCACATAAAGATGCTGATCTGAGCTACATTATGGTTATGTTCTGTACTTTTTTGGCATTGAAAGCAGTAGACTCCTCCCTGCCTTCAAGACGCGTATGTTTGTCATTTCCACTCGTGCCACAAGCCTAAAGAAACAGAGCATGTTTCCAAAGGACAGATCCAACAAATGTCCAGTGCGTAATGCAAGTCTGGACTGATTTTAGTTTATTGCTGTAGATTGTCCAGTGTAAGTCATAGAAACACTTTTATTCTTACAATTGGTCTTTACATGTTGCTAGCAAAAACTGTGCCCACTTTGCAAATCCCCCAAGTGTGTCCTTCCATAATAGGGTGTAGACATATGTATGCTCATATTTCTATGCCCGGTTATTTTCTCATTCCTGTTTCTTGGTTCCAGAAAATTAATTGCTGCCCAGAACAAGTGCAAAAGATAAAACCTTGTCATAAGTATGTGCACCATTACTACTACACCATTCTGCAGCGGTTTTGGTGACGAGTCCCCAGGCTCAGCCTTTTTTCACAGATAACTAGTAAAAATTCCTACTTCTGCAGTAGCAATATTTTTTCCATGTTTGGACAGAATTCATTAACTAAAGGGTGTAAGCTGGACTACTCTGTGTCGAAGAATGATTTCTAAAGGTGGACAAAATTTAAAATATTGCCATTTTGTAGGAACAAACGTTTTCATTACGGGGTTAAACACAGCTCTGGTGGCTGTCTTCCTGGTTGCCACTTGAGGTTCTATTCTCAATCGAAGCACTTGGTTGGGCAGTGCAATGACTTGCTGCCCATGCACACCACCGTCCCAATACTTCTCTATGAAGGAAAAGCATTTTATTGGCTGTTAGGGGCAGTCACCTAACACTAGGGGGTTCCTTTAAAGTAACACTCCAACTATCATAAAAACTACAGCAGACTGTAGTGGTAATGATGCTAGGGGTGCCCTGACACCTCCCAATGTAAGTAAAACTGCATGACAGGCTCTCAATTAAGCCCGGTGCTGCAGGGCACTTTAACTGAGAGCAATCAGCTGATGCTCTTAGCTAATTAGCCGGCCCTGCACACATTAGCACACGAGAGCCAACCGAAGCTCCTACCTCTCCTTTAGGCTACAGCAGAGGTGGGGAGAGAAGCCCGGCAGACCTAAGGTAAATAGACAGACCATTCTAAAACAAGGATGACAGGGAATACCCGGCACTAGAACAACTAAAGCTCACTGTAGTGTTACGGAGCTTGAAGCATTTCTTTAATATTGCTAAAGCAGAATGGGAACTTCCACTTTAGCAATATCTCAGTAGCCTGTAAGGACTAGATCACTAAGTAAGTGTCAAACCTCAAACTCCTTAGTACCATAGGACTTCCTGTCACCATAACTGCTATAAATGGCTATGTGGCACATACTACTGTCACGAATGCACCCTACTCCAAGAGTGTGCGTGACGTAGTTGTGGTGGTGAAAGGGTTAAAGTTCACTTCTTGAAACTAATACCATTTTAAAGGATTGAACTATCAATTGAGAGTTCGTGCCATATGGTCAAAGTCAGTTAGTTTACATTGAAACTAGACATACGGGCTGCTCAAGTGTAAAATGTCTTACCGTGCAGGACCTTTGATAGATCAAAAGGGGCATTCCTTTTCACACCTTGCAGAAGCCCCTTCTGATCAAAGGAGCAATTTCTCTCTGCCATTTGTACTCTACCCATGGGTGAAATTAGCAATATTCCATAGTGTAATAATAGTTTATGCACCCTTGCCGTGACAACTACCACTTGCATTTAGACGTTTTATATTTTTTATTAATAAAATACAAATTTATATAAAAAGGGGAGGAGAATGCTGATTACTAATATTTCACTAATGAATGGATGTTTTTCCTACGTGCAACATCTAATATGTACACACAGCTGGGCAGCACTCTTCATGTGCTAATCCTCAATAAATGTAAAGATGCTGGATGTAGACATTTAATACCAACATTCTCTGTAAACTTATAATCTGTTAGAAGAAAGCGGCCTGATCCTCCGTCTCCTACAGAGCACTGCAATTGTGGAACGACCTCCCGCACAATTTAAAATCTTCCCTAAGCCTAAAGTCCTTTAAGGGATCCCTCTCTACATACCTCAAAACAGAATGCACCTGTCATGGTTGATTATATATTTCCTACCTATTCTATGTTAGATTTTGTATTTATTGTGTATTAATCTTGTTTTTGTATTTTATTGTACCCTAATTGTAACAATGCAATGATTTGTGGACCCAGGACATGTATCTTTCCTGGTAAAATAATTTATAAATAAATAATTTACACAGCAGCTCTCTACATATTCCATATACTGGTTAGTCATTGCTAGTACACATTCCTTCCCATTAGCCAATGACCAGGGGGGCGGTGTACAGGGAGCAGATATTAACCTGCCCCAGGGAAGGGAGGGGGGGTGTACAGGGAGCAGATATTAACCTGCCCCAGGGAAGGGAGGGGGGGTGTACAGGGAGCAGATATTAAGCTGCCCATTAAAGAGGTTCTGCAGCAGCTGAGGCCACTTCCCAGCTAGGACACCTGACCGCCTTCAGATAGCAATGTGCAGCGCTCATACCCGCTAAATGCCAGGAATGGACGGCTCAGGCTTGCGCTCTGCCTGCCGGTGCCCACGGTGCGGCCACACACTGCTTCCGCCCCCCGCCTTCCCAAACAAAACCTTTACCGTGGACACAGAGACCTGCAGTTCTTCCCGCCAAAAAAATCCGCGAATGTAACCAATCACGGCGCGGTTTGCGTCCTCAGCAGCGCTGCGCCCCGTGTAAGGTGATCTGTGATTGGCTGACAGTATTTGTGAGGGGCGGGGTGTGGAAAGAAGCCTCTTCTAGTGTTCTATAAGCTACTTCTGTGTGTTTAACCACTTGGGCATAGCCATTTGAATAACACAGCTTTATTTATTATTAAACACACACACTATAGTTTGCCAAAACATAAACTAGCTTTTTTAAATATATATATAAAATTGAATGTTCAGGTTAAATAAAATAAAAGGGGGTCCATGAGATTTCTGAATTCAGTGATGTAGATACATCTGGAGTTTTATGACAGAAACTATAGGGATGTGATTTAGTTTTTAGGTTAGACTATGAAATTGAAAAGAGAGGGGGGAAAAAACAAATGTTCTATACACCTGGTTATCACTTTTATACACCTGGTTATCACTAGAGCAAAACTTTGGGGGTTGTAGAAAAGTGTTGCAGTCATTTTTTTTAGTTGTGTTTTTATTTTGTGCTCACACATTCCATTTTGTGCACCACCAGAATTTTATCCTTTACACTATACATGTCGTCGTGTTTTTTTTGTTTGTTTGTTTGTTTTTTTTGTAGGCCACAATTTTGACAATGTTTTTTTATTTTTCTATAACATCTAAACAATTGCCTAGGAGGAAAAAATGGTCAGGTTCACCTGACAAATTTATTGTGTAAAAAAAGATTGCATATACCGGTAGTTATGATTTACATGATTTTTTTTTTTTTCTGCGTGCACCCCCTGGTCTTTTGGGCATGTGCCTATGGTGTTAAAGGGCTGTTAATGTACAGTGAGGGGAAAAAAGTATTTGATCCCCTGCTGATTTTGAACATTTGCCCACTGACAAAGAAATGATCAGTCTATAATTTTTTTTCTTTCCATTTATCATTTTTATTGAATTATGCATATGTGTACATCCATAGGCGTGCGCATGGGGTGTGTCTGGGGACACCCTAATCCCACGGCCCTCACATGGATCGAGGCCGGCAGGGGGAGATCAAAGATGGAGGGAGCCCACAGGGAGGGAGTCAGGAGAGGACCCGGGGAACTCTAGCCAGCAGCTCCGCTGGGTTCCTCTCCCTGCAGGCTAGAGTTCACTCTCACCACTGAGACCACCATGGATGGCAGCACGTCTCCCCACTCCCAGGCAAAAGGTAAGAAGGGAGGGGAGCTATTTTCTAATCTGTCCCCCTCACCCCCACACACAATCACTCCAAACAAATTCACACTATTGTAGTAGATAATTTACTGCAAACCAATTAGTTTGAATGACTATCTGTTCCTGTCCAAATTAAAGATAATAAAGTTGCGTGCACGCAGAAGTAAATTCACACTGAGACACAAAGTTCAGGTTAATGAAAGAACTCCGGAGAAGTTTAATGGCTTCTGACAGAAAATGGGTGCGCAGACCCTTTTAAAGGCATTATTACATCATTGAAGAAAATCAAGATATAGACAAATAGACATTGTTAATTGGCTTAGGTGCTAGGATGTTAGTAAAATGCCCTCCCTATGGGGTGTACCATCTTAAGTCACTATCTACGTCATGCTTTTCTCCCCCAGGTTTTAGCGCCATTTTGCTAACATGAGGAGCTCACTCGACGGGAGGGGCTTTTGGCAGCTATCCATTTAGAGCGTAACTGGCACTTGTTAGTTTCTCAAGGCTAGGTTTCAAGGCTTTTAGTAAATACACATTTTATCAAAGCTATTTCTTGCTGACATGCAAATTCTATGTTCTATAGACAAGGCTTTCTTGTAAAACTATGGGGGCCTCTTAGAGGTATAGCAAGAGGATTTAAAGGGGCCTTACAGATTTATAGAGGCCTAATAATTCTACAACAGTCCCCCCTAAAATGTTATTTGCTAAAAGACAAAACTTTATTTGTTAGTATCAGAAGATGTGTTAGCCCAAAGACACAGAAACCCCATGACCGCTGACTTAGTGTTAATGCAAAGTGCAAGTCTATCCCTCTCTTGACCCTAACAGGCTGCAGCACATCCGTCAGTACGGTTCAGGAACACTCTTCACTCCGCTGGTAACCCATAGTGGCTTATCCACTACTTCTCCGTACGGCAGTCTACCCATAAAGACGGACGCTGTCCCTGTACTGTCCCTTCCTAGACTTTCTGCACTTCAACAGTATAAGGGAGAGTTTGTAGCGGAATACAGGGTGAGATGAGGTCTTGATCATCGATTGTCAGATGAGTGAAGGTTGGTGTTGCTTGGTCTACAGTTTTCTGCAGGAATTTCCTTGGGCATGGGAGGACACAACAAATGAGAAGAGCGAGAATAAAAAGAAAAATTAGTAAGGCAATACCAATCTGGACTAAAGCTCTCTGCCAACCAGTCATCCAACCAAACCATTTTTCCCAGGGATCAGTAACTCCAGAGTTTCTCTTTAACTCTTCTGAGAGTCTATTTAATTTAGCTATGGCCAGAGTGACTTTACCATTAGGACCTGTGTTTTCTGGAATGTAAGTGCAACAAGTCATAGTGTCGGGAAGTATTTTACAGACCCCCCCTTTTTCGGCTAAGATCATGTCTAAGGCCAGTCTGTTCTGGAAGGTCATTTGGGATGTGGCCTGTAATTGCTCGGCCAAGCCCTGGAGGGCATCCCTGGTGTAGTTCACGAAGCGCTGTTGGTTGTAATAGATATAATTAATCCAATTAAGGTTTTTGTTGGCAGTGACTATGGTAAAAAGTGATTCAAAACCTGCAGCTACTTCATCTCTAGCTTTAAATTCATTAGGTACCCCCCTAGGCACCCCAATGGCATCTATGTAAATGTGGGGGTCAAAACTGCCTTTTACTGGGGTTTCGCGCCTTACTCTGGCTGATGTATGTGGAGGGTCGTATGTGTCATGATGATTATCAGAAATAATATGAATGGGCATGATAACTTTGGCCAGGGTACATTCACCCCACCACTCAGTTTCCAGCCTAGATCTTAACTGTAGATCCCCACATAACCAGTAAATATCCCCCAATGACCTGGTATGGTGTTGCAACAGGCGTATAGGAACAGTTCTGTAAGTGGCGCAATAACCTTTAGAAAAGTTACCCATGAATTTACCAATCCCGTCATACATGGCATAACAAGTGTAATTACCTCTATAGACTGTGATTCCATCTGGTGGCTTAACATTTTCAACTAAGAGAGGGTACTCTGCCGTCCATGCCATGCAGAGGGACCTATTAAAGTCATATTGGTAGGCAAAAAGGCTTAAGAAGCAATCTTCTATCTCTAAAGGGAGAGTTAGGGGGACGGTGCCAAGGTGGGGTCGGGCACCGCCACATACATAACATGCTGTTTTATTATGTTTGTTGGCATTATACCTCATCCATTCTAACCACAAATTAATGTTATTGAATCCAGTTTCAGCGGCCATGGTATCTTCAAAAGTGGGGTTAGCAATGGTCATCATATCTTTAAAGGACTGGATATGTGGTTTTAGCGGATTTGGGACCATATGATCAGCCCCTTGCCACTCTGGAGAGTGGTACATATCTCTGAGGTAGAAATGACCTAATTTGTTTTAGGAACCTTTCTTCCAATACATTCCCATTACATATCGGTCTGCATCCTCGGGGCCAGGATGTTCAATATTTAACATTAATTTCATAGGGGTACTTCCTCCAGGCTTTCTTAAAGTCATTCTTTGAAGGAGGGATCTACCCTGATTGTCTATCTTAGATAAAGCACTTTTGGGTTTATAACCCCAGGCAGGCCCAGTATTCCATCCCGCAGCCCCCCAGTAGTTACAGTCATAACCCCATTGTTCATCTACTACACAAACGTAAGGGTCTTTTGCTTGTGGTATATCTTTATAAATGGCTTGAATCTGTGACTTAGGGAATGGGCATTCTACAATATCACAGTAATCAAAAGTGAATGTAGCCACATGGGTACATGATGAATTATACCAGAAAGTGTACCCACTAGCATCTTTGGTGATGGCCACCTGCTGGGCTTTAAGGAGGCCAACTAAGGAGATAATGTACCAGAGGCACATGGTTGCATAGAGTTAGCTTCCTCTGGGGCAGGTGTCTTCTTGCAATGGGAAGCGTGGATCCAGTTAGGCCTTCCGGCCAATTTGACAGAGGTAGGGGAGATCAGGAGAACTTGGAACGGTCCGTCAAATCTTGGTTCCAGGGTGTGTTTTCGCACAAATTTCTTGACCAGAACCCAGTCACCGGGGAGCAGACTGTGGTTGCCTGTGTCAGAATCAGGATCTGGAATTGAAGAGAAAACTTGGGCATGGATTTTGTTCAAAGCATTTGCGAGTTCAGTTACATAGTTTACTAAAACATCAGTATGAAGTTGTAATTGCTGGGGAAAATAGCAACCTAGCCTAGGTGCAGTCCCAAATAGAATCTCATATGGGGACAGTGAGGTAGTATTTTTGTACAAGAGCATTCATTAGATCCTTTGATAAATGTGCAGGTCCGTGTGCCCATTGTACGACTGCTGGGTACAAATTCTTAGGGAGGCAGAAATTGAGGTTGTTGGAGTACACTCCATCCTTCAGAACTGCCCCTTTCTGTTTCCACTTCTGTATTTCTTCAGGGGCAACTGTAGCCTGTTGTTCCCGCAGGATTTTTAGGTCAGTTGGAAGAGTCTGCAGAGTAAATATGGGAGTTTCTTCATTTCCGGACACTCTTCTTTCCACTTCCTGTGGTTCTTTTGCAGCTTGTTTTGCAGCCTGATCAGCTAGATGGTTGCCCCTTGCTTCAACTTCCCATGTGCTTTTATCTTCAAAATAGCCACTTCTTCTGGGAGTAGGAGGGCGTCCATCAGCTCCTTGATTGCGGAACCGTGCTTGATTGGTGTACCGGCGGTGGTAAGAAATCCTCTTGTTTTCCAAATTAATCCGAAGTCGTGAGCCACGCCCAGTGCATATCTTGAATCCGTGTAGATATTGGCGCGCTTTCCTTCAGAGATCTTGCATGCTGAAGTCAGGGCTTGCAATTCAGCTTCTTGTGCAGACATAGTTGATGGTAAAGATGATGATTTGACAATTTCATCTGTTGTGGTTACGGCATATCCTGTATGGTATCTTCCTTCTTCATCAGCATATCTTGAGCCGTCCACAAACAGGGTGAGATCGGGATCTACCAATGGGTCTTCATGTACAGTTGGTAGATGTGTTGTTTCCATTTTCATCTGTTCAAAACAGTCATGAGGTGTATCTGGGTCGTAGTCATTCACTATGGTTAAATCTTGGAACTTATTTTCCAGGAAATGACGTGGCCATGCTTTTAGGTGGTCAGTTGTTGGATATTTGACAACACCATTTTCCTGTAGCTGTGATTCGTCCATAGTGGCCCATGCTTTTGCCATAGGCCCAAGATCATTCCATGATATTGTTTTCAACTTGGTCACAGGGACATGTGGAATGGCAGTGTCCCAATGACGGTACAAATGCTTGAGTTCCGGAGGTAGATGAATCAAGACCATACTGTTGCCTTCAGAATCACAGTAGAAGTCTTGTGCAGTGAGTTTTACTTCGACCAGATTATAGAGTTCATCTTCATAGCAGGGTTCAGGAGTGATGTTTGGTTTGTACCACATGGTACAGAAGGCATGTCTTGCTCCGTCATGAAGGAGTGCTTGTCCATCATGAAAGGATAGGTTGGGATGCATTTCCTTCTTGATGGTGCCAGTGAGAAGAAAAACATAAGTTTCGTCCATGATGAATCCGTAGTATACACCCCCCTCAGGGAGTGGCAGAAGAGTGGACGGATTGAGAACTTGACATCTTTGGAGGGTAATGTTGTCAGGCAACAAAAGATGACATTGAAGGCGAAGATGCCTAGCAGGAGTAACATGCTTAAGTTGGACCTGGTTGACTATGGCAGAAATGTCATGAGGGGCCAAGACAATCAGGGGGTGGCCAAGGACAAGATCCCCAGTTCTTTCAATGAGCTCTCTGGCAGCAAAGAAGGCCTGAAGGCAAGAGGGACGTCCTCTGACCACAATATCCAGTTGGCAGGAGAAAAATCCAATAGGCCTTTGGCGGCCTCCAGGACCATGGGCCTGAGTGAGTACTCCTGTTGCATGGCCTTGTCTTTCAGAAACAAACAATGTGAAGGGTTTGGTATAGTCTGGTAGGCCAAGAGCAGGAGCAGAAGCAATAGCACGTTTGAGAGAACAGAAGTTGTCAAGGGCTTCCGTGGACAAGCAAAATGGGTCTGACTTGAGAGCATCATAAAGAGGTTGCATAAGGAGCGAGGCTTCTGGGATCCATGCTCGGCAATAGGAAATGAGGCCCAGGAAGGCGTGTAGTGACTTCGAGGTCCTTGGAGGTGGAATGTCCAGTACTGCTCTAACTCGGTCACGGGTAAGATGTCTGGTTCCCTGAGACAGACAATGGCCAAGGAAGATAACAGTAGATTGGCAGAATTGCAGCTTGAGACGTGAAGCTTTACATCCTTGTTCTGCTAGGTAGCAAAGAAGATTAATTGAGCATTGTTCTGTTGTGGGTAGATCATCTCCACAGTAAAATGGGAAGGGAACAAAGAACAGTAGTGTCTTTTCGTGACAAAGGTGTATTTAATTGAACCTGGCCGTCTGCAGTGAGGGTGATGGATGCTTGGAGGCGGGATAGGACATCAGCACCAACACAAGAGACATCGGTGTCAGGCAGGAACGATGAGTCAGGCAGGTCTTGTTCTCTAGGAACACTGCGGGATGCACCTGTGTTAACCAGGAAAGTAGTAGGGTGACCTTCAATAGGTAAAGTTACAGTGGCTAGTGGCCCCCCTTGTTCCCTGTAGACACTGCCATGGCAGGGGCATTAAGCATCAGCGGGTTTGCTCTCCTCTGTATGGGCTGTGTTACTGACTCAAACCCCTTTCTATGTCATTAGCCATAGCTTTTTGCAGTCTGAACATGTCTATCATTATAAATAATGGTTAATAGTAAGTGAAGTAAAGTTCCTATATGTCTTTGGATAAAACATTAACTATTGCGGTACTATCATTTATATCAATTAGACTATAACAATTATACCACCCTGTAACTAAAATGAATAACCAGTAGTGGCTGGGTTAATAAAACATGTCACAAACCCTTCTAATGCTAAACCATCATTTAACGTAAAGGATGTTACTGTAAACATACGATCTGTAACTAGCAAGATTCGATTAAGTAAAGATACAATGTTTAAAATAACTTGCATTATTTAGCTATTTCCCTTGTTGCAAGATTCATCTGGATAATCAGCTGTTATGTTCTTATATTCGTGTCCAACAGATCTCATTTGTAGGTCACACCACAGTTGCAAATTACATTTTAGCAACCTTCTTTTTTTTTTTTTATAACACGGACAAATTTCTGATACAGGGAAACAAATGGCATGATTGTTTCAGTAATTATAATGTTTCAGTTCATAATATGTAGAGTGTAAGGAAAACAACATGTCTCTAAATAGGACGAGCATGATAGGGGTAGGCCTCATAATGGAGGCAGCCATGACAGGGGCGGGGAAGGAAATGACAGCAAGGGAGGAAGTGAGATGACGTCCATGATAGGTGTGGGAAAGGAAGACAGGAGGTGTGGGCATGGTAAGGGCGGAAGTGACGTCACTTTAGAAGCAACCGTGACTGTAGATAGGTCACGGGACTGGCAGGGTCAACCTCCTTCTGTAGTAGGCGCCATCTGTAGGGTGGTGGCTGACGCACCTTCAACAATACACTATATTATAACTATTAAAATAAGTCAGAGAAGCAACATTCTGTTCTGCAAAATGAAATATTAAACTATGAACAGACCTGGCAGGTTAAATAAGACAGTTGAGAACATTATGCATTTAACAGCCCATACAGCTGTCTTCTAGAAACATGTTCTTTAAAATAACTTTAAAATAATAAAATGATGCAAAATAAACTCGCGGAATTCAACCAAATTCCCTTATCTTCCTCAAACCATTAATCACTTTCCTCTTCACATACTAGCTTAACTCCGCATATTCCCTCTATCCACATTGCATAGTTCTGCAACAAATCACGCTTGCCTATACACTTAACACGTCCAAATATTCCACTATTCTTGTATCAGATTCACTTACCTCCGTAAATCAACACTGATCTACATTCTTGTGTCTCCCCCACAATCCTCACTACTTTATCACAAAACTCAATCTATACATACACATATATATATATATATATATATATATATATATATATACACACACACATACATACATATACAAACGGCAACAATAATAATATTATTACACAACTATAACACCATAACCTTTGAATTAGAATATTTTCCAGCAAAAATCCCGTTCCTAACTCTTATCAGTAGCTCCCGGAAATGTAGGCGGGGAGGAGGGGGGTGAGGGGGGGAGAATGTGAGACAGTGCAAAAAGGGAGAGACTGCAGGCATGAAGATTAACCATGTGAGTGCTGTAAAGTAACAAGACAGAAGGACAGAGACTTATACGTTTGGAAACCAGAAATCTTTGACGGAAGAAACGGACTGGAGGTGCAGGGAGCTGCAGAGAGAGGATGAGGGTGACGAGATCTGTAGGACTGATGGGGGGGGGAATAGGGATCCATCAGCATCCAGTAACACAATTATTATAATACACAAACAATCTTAAACCTTTGTGATCAATTTCTTCCTCAACCTATCCCTTTTGCTGAATAGCTCTTGCTACTCGGTACCAGGCTTCTGCTGTACAAACCAAATCTTGGTCCGATAGCTTCCCTTTCTTCTCTGTCAGTAACTTACGCCAGCTCTCTGGCTACAATCTGCCGCACAGAGGTACGGTAATTCCACATACTTTAGCAATCTTACTCACTTTCTTAACCATCTCTTCTCCTTCTCTGTCTTCCACTAGATCACATGCTAACCAACCCTTACTGGGTTTATCTAACTTCTGTCCCATCCTCCCTATACAAGGCGTCCCAGATATAGAGAGAGAAAGGAACAGAACGTCTACCGTGCTCGACTGCTACTTTAAGAGCAAGCTCTTTAAGTACGTCTTCCCAAAACGTAGACTAGTCACTGATTCCGCCTACCCGTGGTAGCCGCGGATTGGAGCGTGGCGAGAAGTGTGTGACCAATCACTTCTCTCAACAGAGAAAGAGAAATAGGAGGGGAAAGTGTAAATAGTACAGTGAGTAAGATAGAAGTAAACACAGGAATCTGTGTGACAGACAATTAAGACAATAACATTTCAGTGTAAATACAGTGCATGCATCACAGTTCAAATAAGTTCAACAGTGTTATCCCTTGCCTTTACTCGTGTGGCCAAAAGCCACCTCCCTCAACCTCGTAGTGTCCCTGTTGCGGACCCACCCGCAAGTCTCACTACCAGCAGCCACAGGAAACAGCAACAGCTTCCAACCCGAATCCTGTATAGCCTAAAGAATTGGAATCTTACCTGCCTCAGCGCTCGAGGCTGGAATTTTACCAAGAAGCTAAGCGGTCAAAATGACACTCTGGGGAACCCCCAGGAAGCAATGAGTCTACATCATCCTCCACAGATTCCCCCTACTCTTTTTCCTTACAGCCACAGCCACGTGGCTCCTAAAAGAGTTAAACAGGCAATAGAGGACCCCCAGGAAAACTTCCACAGGTCCACCCCCCTTTTTCCTTACTACCACAGGCACGTGGTACCTAAAAGGAGTTAAACAGGCACTTACACTCCCCGGGTAGACTAAGTTAAACACATACCAATACAAACACACCCAGGCAACAGATAGTCAACATGCAGGTAAATTAAGTATCATTAACAATACAAAGACTCTGGGCAAGTTATTACCTGACTTTGATGTCCTCTCGGCAGCAGTCACAGACACTGGAACAGGTCAATCACAGGGGTAGGAACATACCGGCTAGGTGCTGCAGCAATCTCTACCGTGTACTCAGAGGTGATCAGGCTCTTTTCCTTCCCCCAGGATTCACCCACCCAGCATCTTCTTGGACAGCTGCCCAGACAGGACATAGCCCAGAGCCCCACGTTGGCGCCAATTGTAGTAGATAATTTACTGCAAACCAATTAGTTTGAATGACTATCTGTTCCTGTCCAAATTAAAGATAATAAAGTTGCGTGCACGCAGAAGTAAATTCACACTGAGACACAAAGTTCAGGTTAATGAAAGAACTTCGGAGAAGTTTAATGGCTTCTGACAGAAAATGGGTGCGCAGACCCTTTTAAAGGCATTATTACATCATTGAAGAAAATCAAGATATAGACAAATAGACATTGTTAATTGGCTTAGGTGCTAAGATGTTAGTAAAATGCCCTCCCTATGGGGTGTACCATCTTAAGTCACTATCTACGTCATGCTTTTCTCCTCCAGGTTTTAGCGCCATTTTGCTAACATGAGGAGCTCACTCGACGGGAGGGGCCTTTTGGCAGCTATCCATTTAGAGCGTAACTGGCACTTGTTAGTTTCTCAAGGCTAGGTTTCAAGGCTTTTAGTAAATACACATTTTATCAATACTATTTCTTGCTGACATGCAAATTCTATGTTCTATAGACAAGGCTTTCTTGTAAAACTATGGGGGCCTCTTAGAGGTATAGCAAGAGGATTTAAAGGGGCCTTACAGATTTATAGAGGCCTAATAATTCTACAACACTATCACACACACACATCACACTACCAGGACTCTCTCACACAAACACACAGCACCCACACACACACAGCAGTGTGTGTGTGTATGTATATGTATGTGTGTGTATATATATATATATATATATATATATATATAAAATACAGAATCCAGCGCACTCGCTGATTCACTAAACAATGCTTTCAAAATCTTAGAGATTGTAATAGTTTTATTTAAAAACACCTCACCTAGGCAAAAAATAATGGGGGTTTAGTTACATTATATGATCATATATTGCATAAGCCTGCCACAACGTCAATGTACCCCATTCTTGGCAGGCTTATGCAATATATGATCATATAATGTAACTAAACCCCCATTATTTTTTGCCTAGGTGAGGTGTTTTTAAATAAAACTATTACAATCTCTAAGATTTTGAAAGCATTGTTTAGTGAATCAGCGAGTGCGCTGGATTCTGTATTTTATATATTTTGGCCCCAGCAGCACCCTGTAATGTATGCATGTTCAAGTGAGTGCAGCCCTCTTGGTTTTGTGTGTGTATATATATGTGTGTGTGTGTGTGTGTGTGTGTGTATGTATGTGTATATATATATATATATATATATATATATATATATATATATATATATATATATACACGGCGTGTGTGTTTGTGCTTTAGGGTGCACACCCTAATTCAATAGGCTGCCTTCGTACGCCTATGTGTACATCATTGCAATGATCATCATACATTCAGCGTACAATCGATTCTTATACATTGTATCCGTGTTACAATAAACAATTGACATGAGCAGAGTGGTGGGCTCACAAGCATTTCTGGTGTTGCTGTGTGTCTTATAGATGAGCAGCTTATCCCATATTTTCGTATAACCAAAATATAGGACTAAAACAAAGGAAGAGGGGTAAGGATACAGGAATAAAAAACATTAGGGGTAGTGAGTTCACACAGTTACCGAATCAGTTAGTACATCCAAGTGTCTTGTGTACATATTCACCTTATTTGTCATCTTGTTAGCCGAGCTATATGTTATGCCCCGTCTGCCTGACCACCCCAAGTGGATTAATGCTGGTGCTAGGCCCCATTCTCTGTCCTAGAGGACCAGCTACTCCAATCACGGGCATATTTGTCCTCGCAACCTTGTAGCCTACATGCCATTTTTTCATAGGAGCTAATGATGTCTAACCTATTACTGATAACCTCCAGTGGGGGGATTGTTTTGCTTTTCCAATAGAACGCTAGACTAACTTTTGCTACTGTGACTATGTTAATTATCACCTTGCGGTGAGGATGACATGTTAACTTGGGGATCATATGAAGAAGGTAGTATTCTGGTTGCAGTGGGAAGCTAAATTGTGCGGTTGTGGATATGAGCGATCTCACTTGCTCCCAGAACCTGTCTAAGTTGGGACAGCCCCAAAACATATGTAGCATGGTATCCGTCCCTCTTTCACACCTCCAACAGAGCCCAGATGCTCCGTTATAAATGCGAGTCAGCCTATGCGGCACCAGATACCATCTTATTGTGATTTTGCGATAGACTCTTCGAGGCCTGTTTAGTGGCCTTGTGCCATTGTGACAAGGGAATTGTGCATCCCAGTTCCCTCTCCCACTGAATCATATATATCAGTCTATAATTTTAATGGTAGGTGTATTTTAACAGTGATAGACAGAATAACAAAAAAAACAAATCCAGAAAAATGCATGTCAAAAAGTTATAAATGGGTTTGCATGTCAATGAGTGAAATAAGTATTTGACCCCTTTGACTTAGTACTTGGTGGCAAAACCCTTGTTGGCAATCACAGAGGTCAGACATTTCTTGTAGTTGGCCACCTGGTTTGCACACATCTCAGGAGGGATTTTGTCCCACTGTAACTATGTAACTATGTAACTGTGGGGCAAGTCCACTAAATGGAGTAACAATAAGTCAAGTGCCGCTCTCTTAAAGGAACCAGGGTGTATATGTAAATATGCAATGGTCTAAAAAATAAAATGCATAGGAGACAAAGGGCTCCAATAGTATAAAATCTATTTTTTTAATTTATTTTTTTAGACATTAAAAAGAGAATACGTGTATTCCCAAAAGAGCTTCTTATGAACATGCACTATAGAAACCGCATGTATCGGACCATGCCGCCAGTACCAATATTTGGAGTACCAATATAAAAAGGTTATTATTGCTCCTCTTGGTAAATGCTTGATTCCAGAACCCTCCACTTTATATGGATTGTGATGCTTGTATATTTTAGACAAACAGTTTTACAATTGGACGTAATTCACTAAAATTCTGGATTAACTCTGCTGGAGTCAACTGGTGAAACCTGAAAATTGCAAATCAGATGCAGGCAGTCCACAGGTACGTGCGGTGCATGTCTTGCAAACAAAATTGTCATGTAACTGCAAATTCTTGTGCAAATATACTGGACAGTGAATCTGTTCGGGGATTGTCTTCCATGCATAAATGTAAATCAGTGGAATCAGTGAATCTGCCATTTGTCTACACTGACACACAGATACACACATCCTGACACCCAACACACACTGACACATAAGCACACTTTGACACACAGATACACATACACATACACACACACACTATACTTTTGCCCAGCCTTGCAGGGTTTTATTTGTGAGTAGTGTTGTGCGTTTGAATGTAACCAGGTTTTATTTTTATTTTTTTTATGGGGTATGTGGTGTCATTGGACAGCAGTGGTGTACCTGTGTGTAGTGTTTGCTTTCAATGCAGTGGTAGTGTTGGCTTTTAAAATGCAGGTGTACATTTGTGTGTAGTATTGGCAGGGCTGTCTTTAATATTGACTGGACCCTGGCCAAAGTATTTGCTTGGGCCCCCTGGATCCTGTCCCCCCCTCCCCAGGCATGCAATCACATCTTCCACCCCAACGCAGTGGCGGACCTAAAGTAGAGAGGTACAAGAATTGTTTTGGGCCTCCCTATCGCACGGGTGATTAAAAGGTAGATCCACATCTGTCGTGCAACTCCAGAAATGCATTGACAGCTGGGGCTGTACCATTTACCCATGCTTGCAGGTTTGTATTTAGCACTAAGCAGTTTGTGTGTGTTTGAATGTAAACAGGTTTTTGTATGGAATGTGTTTGTATGTGGTGTTGGCGTGACTGCAATCATGTATTTATGTGTAGTGTTTATTTTTGAATGCCTGGGTGTATTTACAAATAATTTTGGTGTGTAACACAGACGTGTGTTTGTACATAGTGTTGAAGTTTGAATGCAGGGGTGTATTTGTGTGTGGTGTTAGTGTGTGAATGCTGAGATGTATGCACATATACACACACACACACAGATATACACACTGGCACATGTAGATATACAGACACATATACACACTGACACACAGATACACAACCTGACACACACATAGATACACGGAAACACATGCACTCTGGATTTTGTTTGGGAGTCCATCAGTAGAACGGTTGTGGTATCTATGCAACTGAGTATGTTATGGTACATATTAATTATTAATAGGGTTAGGGTCCCCCTCTCTGGTCTCGACGTCGCCAAGCCTCTGCCGCAGCCCACCGACCTCTGCTTGTACCCCTGCTAGATTGGCTTTCCAGACTTCTCTTAAGTCCAGGAGGACTTCTGGTACACACCGCTTGCTGCCTGCGATGTCAGAGTTATCTCTCCATCCTGGGAAGAGTCGAGGTATGCGGCCTCTCAGTCCATTTTAGTTCGGGCCTGCGTCGGCATGCTCTCAAAGGATGGGGAGATTTGTGCACTCTGAGCGGGCAAGTTTCCTGTGCTTTCACTCCCATCTCTCTTTGGGGGTATCAGGGTATCTGATGCTGCTTGGGGTCCTGATAAATTGTGGCTAAAAATTATTTTGTCAGCTTGAGTCTTCTAAGCAGGTTAGCCAGCCACGCCCCCAGCATTTGACCTTTTTTAATGTTAAACGAAAGGCCTGAGCAGCCCTTTTGCTCCATGATGCTTGGACTAATGGTTGTAGACTATTAGCCTTAGCCACAATGGATGGCTGGGAGTGTCACCTGATCTTTCATCCTATCACACCGCCCATTGCTTGTGTGAATTGGTATGGCTAGAAAGAAGTGTTACTTTGCTTTAGCTATAACTCCGGAGTAGGCGGCACTGTGGGAGACCAGGGACCTTTATTTAGTGTTAAACTACTCGAAAATGGTTTAGCACTGAATGGAGGGACAGCAACAGGGGACTCCAGTAACTATAACCAATTCAATCAGAGGAAATGGTTATGGTTCCTATAGTGTACGTTTAAAGCTTTGGGCAGACACTGGATGATCACCGCAGAGGGACTTTTATTTGTTTATTTTATTTATTAATTATTTGTGTTCTTGTATGTGTAACTGAGCAATACAATGGTTATTAAACATATAAAATGGTATATTAGTAAATAAGTTCCCTGCAAATTGGTGGAACTAGGGACAAGTAACCAATTGTATGTGGGTAAAACAAAGTATTTAAAATACATAGTCTGCAGGACTCATAGTTGTATGCATGGGTTTCCTGATATCTTCTCCTCTAACCGCATTAATTATCTTACGTAAACTGTGAAGATTTTCACCACAAAAAACAACAACTTTGTGCTAAATCATACGTATCAAGTATTTTTTTATTTTTTTTTGAGAGCAGGAGAAAACTTTCTAACACACACGGAGCATGTACATCACATCCAGGTTGAGTTCAGGTTAGGATATAGAACAGAAGCTCCTGTAGCACTTTGTCATATTTTAGCATGACACTGGTGGTATTTTAATGTTTGCTCATTACCTAGTTACAGCCTAATAAACAAACATCACTGTATTCCGAGATGATCATTTCCTATGCAG